GGCCTGCTCGGCTTCTCCTTTTCCCTTGCACCCCATCTCTGACCCACCCACATATCTGCCATCTCAGCCTTGCTTCTCAGCACCTCTACTCTGCCACATTGTCCAAGCCACAAGGACTGGAGGATTGAAATATCTCCAGCTGCTCCCAGCCCCAGCTTTCCAGCCGGCTCTAGAGTAAACTTCTGAAATGTAAATCAGTTCACATCTCTCCTCTGCTCAAACTCTCCTAAGGGTCTTACCTCACTTTGGGGCAAAACCCCAAAAGACCTTAATGGCTGGATCCCACCTCCATATCTCTCTGACCCCCATCTCCGCATGCCCACTTTAACAACACTGGAACCTTCACCCTGCTGACCTCAGGGCCTTTGGAGTTGCTGTTCCCTTAGCCTGGAATGCTCTTCTCCCAGTTTTAAGTACAGCTCCCCCTCCCTCCCTCATTTCAGATCTCTGCTTATGTTATCCTAATGCCAAGCCACCCTGTATACATAATCATTTATAGCAGTAGATAGATACACAGATTTAAAAAATTCCACCACCCTCTTAATTGGCTTTGTTTTTGTCTGCATAACACCATCTTAGTTGGTTTTCTGGTGCTGTAACAGAATACCTGAGACTGAGTGATTTATAAAGAAAAGTTTATTTTGGCTCACAGTAGAAGATGGGAAGCCCAAGGTCACAGCAGTGGCTTCTGGTGAAGGCATCGCAGCACAGCAGAAGGGGAAGGAGAAGCCAAATGCATGCAAAAGAGACAAAGCAAAGCAGAGGGGCTGCCTGGCTTTCCGACCACCTGCCCTCGAGGTGCTAAGCTGGTCCCTAGAGAACTGCATTCATTCCTCTTCTGGCCTACTTGCCTCTTAAAGGCCCCACCTCCCCACACCCATGCAACAACCATGAACTCTCAGCGTGAGTTTCAGAAGGGATAAGCCATGTGCAAACTGTTGCAGACATGTTATTTGCTTATTGTCTGCGTCTCCCAACTTGCAAGGGCGAGGCCCCTCCTGTTTATTTTCCCAGTGCCCAGAACAACACAGAGTGGGAACTCATAAGTAGCGGCAGAGTGAATGGATGTGCAGATAAACACGTGCTCACCGACACTTGTGACCGCAGACGCTGCTTGCTGCACTTGGAAACGGCAGGAGGGGAGGGAGGAATTCCAGGAGGGGAGGCTGCAGCATAGATAGGGCAGAGCCAGCACTCCCTGAATGGGCCAGGGATCGGTTCTCAATCCTGTTGGGATTAAACCTTTCTGTGCAGTGGGCGAAGACCTGCAGCCCAGGAAGGCCACCAACATGTCCAATGTTTCAGAGTCCCTGGAGAGCTGGATGCAACCCCAGGGCTCCCCAGCGCCCTCCCTCCCTGGACAGATTGGATCCAGGACAGAGTCCACCCAGGAGCAGGAGAGGAGGGGAGGGAAGAGGAGGCTGGGTGTCTGCGGCAGCCTTGGCAGGGTGTGCAGAGTGGCGAAGAGTTGGCAGGTGGCCAGGGAGCCAGGCCAACTGCCTGAGGGAGGGCCTGGCAGCTGAGGTATAAAGGCCAGGTGGGGAAGAGAGGTGGAGCTTTGTGGGCTGGGCTGCCCCTCACACAGGAATGCGGCTTGTGCCCTGCACCAGGGGGCAGCCTTGTGCCTCCCAGTGCACCCTTCAGTGGGCCACATCCACCTGGGCACCTTTCCCATTCCCCAAAGTTGCCCTCACTCAGAGGAGCCCACATCCAGGGTTCAAGGCCTTAAGTGTGCTGTACAATTATGGACAACACTCTCAGACTCGAATTGCCACTATGAAGGGAGAATTTGACTTCAGCCTCTACCCTGGGCAGCTGCCACAAAGTGTGTTTCTCCTCTTGACATCCCGGACTCCCATCCAAGCTGCCCTGTGCATTAGCATCCTGTGCACCCCAGTGTGCTCAGCCACTGGGACCTTTGCACATGCTGTTCCTGTGGAACTATTTCATGCCCGGCTCCTGCTCATCCTTCCAGACTCGGCCAGATGCCAGCTCCCTGATCCCTCCTCCACCATCACACCTTCCATTCCTTCCACCTATCAGTCCTTTCTCCTCTTTCCTGCCTAATTTCTTAATGCTCAGCACCCCCAAAACCATCTTGTAGATTCACTCCTTTGTCATCCATCTGTCCCACCAGGTCAGCTTTGTTTATTGCTACCTCCCTAGCGCCAAGCAGGAGGGCTGGCACCAGGGAAGCACTAGTAAATATTTGTGGAGAGTAAGTGAACGACCAGAAAAAATGGATCTCTCTCCCAATTGCGTCTTGCTGTCTTACATGGAGAAATGATGTTAAAAATATGTGAAGGAGTGAAGGAGTGAATGAAGGAGTGAATGAAGGAATGAAATGCATTTCTGTCTCCTGGCTTGCATTCATCACTTAATGACTGAATTGTACTGTGCTCCCTCCCCCTGTAAAAGGCATTATAAACAAAAAAATAAAGGGGGAAGGGAGGGGTGGAAGCAGGGTGGGAAGAGGCAGAGTGACATCAGGTGCCAGGGGATATGGGGGCCCCCCTGGCCCACCCCGCTAGAGGCAGCGCCATCTCCCAGTAAATCCCACCCCCAATCCCTGCGGGCTGTGCGGCCCTGGAACTGGCTGGTAGAGCGGGGGGAGCTGTTCCAGGGTGCGTGCAGGGAAGTCACAAGCTCCAGGAAATGAAGACTTGGAGCTGCCTTCTCCTGCCATAACTCCAGCCTCATCACGACCAGCCCAGCCCATCATGTGGGGCTCAGAGCTGGGTCCCCAGAGGCAGCAGCACACTCAGGGATTGCAGGATCCAGAGCAGGGCCACAAGGGAGGGGGAACTACACACCCAGGCCCAGACAATGGGCGAGGAGCTGGGGTGGGGGTGCTGGGGTACTCACAGTGGGTCACGGGTCCTCCAGAACCCACTTAGGACAGAGTAGGACCGGAGGGGCAGAGGGGCAGCTTACTCAGGGACGCCCACCTCCACCCTTCCCTGGGGCCTGGATGCTTTCCCATGCTGCCAGCCAGAAATGCACTTTCAACCCCTCTCTGTCACCTTCGCCTTCCAACAGGCGCTCCCTACCCTGAAACCCCTTCTCCCATAAAGAATTTCTGGAGCCGAGACTGTGAAAAAGCACAGGAGAGTCAGCCATCTGCAAAATGGGTCTAAAGTGCCAACCTTCAGAATTTCAGTTTTGAGAATTGGCTGCAGTGCAGCTGGGTCAGAAGAGACAGTCTGCGTGTCTCTCCCTGAGAGAACCAGGCCACTTCCTGTGTCCTTAGAAGACCTGGCTCGAACAGGTCAGTCCCGCACAGCCTCTGCCCAGCCACACCTCCGCGTTCCCACCCTAACTCCCTAACCTAGCCAGCCGCTCCCACTCACCTTCCACTCTTCTCCCTGGAATGCCCTTTCTTCCTCGCCTCCAGGGACCCCTGGATTCTCCCCAAACCCATGTGCCCTCTCCCTCCCTGCGCAGCCTCAGGTGGTCTTCACACACACCTTCGGAGCGGCTCACACACTACCTGGTGTTTGGTTACAATGGGAGGATCCCCGTCTTCCACCCCACTAAACATGGGGCCATTTACCAGCATCCGGGCCAAACCTGGTGCATGGAACAGAGTAGTTGAACTGAGCCGAGCCAGCTGGGCACTAGGCATGGGGAGGAGAGAGGGGGCTGAGCCCCTCACCTGCTCTCAGTCTTCTTGTGACAGCGTGACAGCCAGCTGGCTTGGCTGTCCCCTGTAAACACCCACATCAAGCCATTATTCATCATTAGGGCTTGAGTAGGCGTGAGTCCCTCAGATTCTTTCTTGCTGAAAGCAGGATCTGCTGGGTGGGGGTGGGGAAGGAGACATGGCTGGATCTCTGGACACAGTGCTGGTCCGGGGTGGGAGAGGAGAGGAGACATGTCTCTGGGGAAACGTGGAGACACCAATGGCAAGCTCACAGGGGTTGTGACCCTGCCCAGTGTCACACAACGCACCTCCAAGCAAGGGCCTCTGAGACCCCAGTGCTGCAGCCCAACAGGGGAACTGTGGAGAGGGAGGTGGTAGGGGGTCGGGGATTTAGCTGAGTGGTGCTGCACCTGCCTGGCAAGCACAAGGTCCTGAGTTCGAGTCCCAGTACCAAAAACAAAGAATAGGAGAGGGAGGTGGCCCTGTCACCTGGGGTGTGGCTGCAGGAGGGCAGGAAGTGGGAGCTGTACTCTGCACCCAGGGGGTGAAGACCCCTTCTAGAAGCCAGGGTGGGGAATTTGGGGCTGGGCTGAGCCAGAAGTGTCAGCCAGGGACAAAAAGGCAGCCCCTGAGGTCGCTGGTACTTGAACATGGTGGCTGGTGAGGGACTTGTGAGGAGTGACTGGGGCAGGGAGCTGGGAGGGAGCAGGCGGGAGCAGAGGGAGGACAGCAGGGGAAGCAGGGGTGTGCCCTGGGAAAGGACAGCCGGGGTCCAAGGCTGGGGTGTGCTGGAGAGGGCTCCCAGAGAGGCGTCTGTCCCGTCCTGGTCCTGCGCCCTGCACAGGGCCAGACACACAGCAGGTCCCTAATTAGTGCCTACAGGGCAAAGAAAGACTCAACCAGCCCCTCCGCTGTGGAACTCCCTCGGATGTTGTCTCCTCTTTCCCCCACAGGCTCCGGATGGGTCTCGAAGACCCCTAGTCCTCAAGGATCAAAGGACCAGCTAGTCCCCAGCCCGCCTCATCCTCGCGCAGAGACCATGGCGCACAGAGCCCTCGGGAGCTGCCGCGGCGCGGCCTGGTGATCCTCCACGGGGCGCGGCGAGGGGGCGCGGGCGGGGACCCCGCGGCCGTCCATGCCCTGCTGCGGCCGCGCCCCTCCCCCTCCAGCCGGGCGCCCCCGCGGCTGGGCGGCGTGCAGAGCTGCGGGCCCGTCCGGGTGCCCCGTCGGGGGGCGGCGTCCTGGCGGCCAGGCGGAGGCCACCATGTGACGCGGCGCCGCTTCGTCCTGCGACCGAGCAGCGGCGCCCTGGTGCCTCCCCTCCGTGCTCCTGGGCGCGACGCCGCTCAGGCCAAGCATGAGGCCGCGGCCGGACGGAAGGGCGCTCCGGGCGGGAGCAGCGCTGTCGCCCACGCTGCTGCTGCTGCTGCTGCTGCCGCCGCCGCCGCCGCTGCCCGGGCGCCTGTGGGCGGCGGGGACTCCCGCGCCGTTGTCGGCGACAGGGCCCGGGGCTCAGCAGGACGGCGCGCCCGGTGCGGGCCGAGTGAAGCGCGGCTGGGTGTGGAACCAGTTCTTCGTGGTGGAGGAGTACACGGGCACCGAGCCCCTGTACGTGGGCAAGGTAAACTGGGGCCCAGCGCTGCCCAGCTCCGGCTGCGGGGCGCATGGTACAGGTCAGAGACCCTGGTCGCCTGCCCCGCTTCGGTTCTCTGTCCCTGTGCCTCCTTCCAGCTGTGCCCCGGGCTATCGGGCAGCTGAGTTCAGAACTCTACCCTTACCCCGACTATCCCGTACCCTGTTCAACCTCCGCCTTCTGCATCCTACAGAAGAGGGAGCTGGTGGGCAAACCCAGGGCGTCGGTAGCTAGATGCAGGAGGGACTTAGCTTGCTGATCTAATCTTAGCACACACATTTCTGGCCGCTCTGCCTAAAATGCCACCTAGCTCCTGTGCACGTCAGCCACGCCCACATTCCCTGCCGTGAACCCGGAAGGCCCAGCCCCCAAGCCTGACCTGTCAAACTGCCTGTGAGTTTCCTGTCTGGTGCCCATCTGAATGCCCATGCCCTCCTGCCACGACCCCTGTGCCTGCATTTACTCCCCTGACCTGCTCTTTGCTGCTCCTCCCACTAGTTACCTGACTCACGCTGTGGGTCTCAGTTCAAAGGCCACTTCCTCAGAGAAACCTTCCCTGACCACACAGGCTAAGATAGATCCCCTGATACATGTCCTGAGATCCCGGTGTCCTCCCTTCCTGATGCCCTAATTATGCCTCTGCTTGGTTGACCGTGTGATTTACATGTGTCTTTTCTCTCAGACCATGTCTGTAGTGCTCACCATTAAATCCCCAGTGCCCAGCCAAACACATGGCTCACACTTGGTTCACTGAATGAATGAAAGTCGCCTTCTCAGACTCTCCGAGTAAATGCTGGTTCATCTGGCTAAAGATCTGTGCCCCAGGAGTAAAAGGAACTGAAAAGGACTTCTATTCATCCATTCAATCCCTGCACCTTGTGGGGTCCAGGTGTGATACTGGGGAGGCAAGTCTGAGTAAGATCTAGCCTCTGCCATTTGGGGCTCCACAGAATAGCAGACATCCTGGTATATTCAAAACAAAACAAAACAAAAAAACACCTCACAAACCAGCACCTGGTACTGAGTAGGCACTCATTAAGTGCTATCCATTGGCTGGCTTTATCGAGGAAGAAAACACCTGAACTGGGTTTGGATGTACGTGTAGGAGTTCACCAAGCTGATGGGGAAGACTATGCAGACTTCAGAGACCTGAAGGAGCTTGGCTTATTCAGAGACTTGTCAGCAGTTGGTGTGCTGAAGGGGAGGATGACTGGAGGATGAAAGCAGGGTGGTGCCCCGGGACAATTCTCTGGCTTTTGTTAAGGCCCACCAGCTTTCCAGAAAGTTTTGGTTGGCAGTGGCAAGCTTTTTGGAGCTCGTGGTGTGCTGAAATGTCTGAGGACGGGGAGGCTGAGCGGTTCTAAGGCCCTAGGATCAGGATGGTGGACAAGAACAGGAGGCAAGTCTAAATGTAAACTTCAGGGCTGGCCTGTGGGAGACCCAGCTTTGCTCTGATGTGGACGCAGTAGTCCTGGGTCCCAGGCTCTCTCCCCTCCTTACCTGTGGTTGAAGTCCATCCCCACAGCTGAGCCAGATGAGGATCTGACAGCGCTGGGCAGGTACACAGCCTTTCTGGAAATCATTAGGCAGTCCCGAGGCAGAGCCCAGGACTGTGGCTCCCCCCCGGCTGGAAGAAGGGTACATGTCGGGCAGGAGGGGCCTTTGCTGGCCGGAGCTGCACAAGTGGCTCAGGATGGAGTAGCTGACATGGAAGGCTGAGAGGCAGACACCGCCAAGTCTGAGACCTTGCTCTGCCAGCCAGCTCACTTTACCTCCCTGAGACTTCATCTCCATCTGTGAAGTGGAACTCTGAGAGCCCACTTCCCACGGTTGAGGATTAAAAAAGAAAACAGAGCACATAAAGCGGTCGGCCTGTGGCTTGTTTGTTTGTGGTTGGTTTTTTATTATTCCCATATAAAGTACTTAATCCTCAAACTGCATGGTAGGAATCAGCATTCCCTTTTGTATGCAAGGAAACCAAGGTCAGAGAGGGCAAAGTCATGGGGTGGGCGAGTGGCTTAGCCAGCATTTGAACCTGAGCGAGCTGGAGTCTCTGAGTCTCCAGGTAGAAAAGGCCAGTCCTGGCCTGACTCTCCAGACCGGGCAGGGATCTCCAGGTTGGGGCAGAGGCTGGGGGTCCAGGAAGACCCCAGAGAGAGCAAGAAGGATTCTGACGTCTGCTAAATGTCACACTAAGCGCTCAGCGTTACAGTTAGCAGTAGCAGCTGGGGCTCTGGAAAGACTTCTCCAGCCACCCAAGTCCTAAAGAGCAGAGAAAAAATCACCACCTGCACCTTTATCCACTGATACTTATTGCCTCAAAGGCACAAGCTGAGCCCCTCCATCTCCCTGAAGCACAGTCTGTTGACAGTGGAGCATCCCAGTAAGTCCTTTCATTATGAGAAGAAGACGCGGAAACCAAAGTGTGGAGAACAGCATGCCAAAGTGACGCAGCAATGTGGTGACAGAATCAACCAAGAAGCCAGGCCAACTAACCTCTCTGTCATGCTCAGCATGGTGGCACATGTCTGTCATCCCAGTACTCTGGGATGCTGAGGCAAGAGGATTGCAAGATCGAGTGCAACCTAGGCAATGTAGTGACTTAGTGAGGACTTGTCTCAAAATAAAATAAATTATGGGGCCGGGGACTTAGCTCAGTGATTTCGCCACCTGCTGCGCAAGCGCAAGGACCGGAGTTCGATCCCTGGTACCTAAAAAAACCCAACAACAACAAAAATAAATAAATAAAATTAAATAAAATAAATAAATAGAAAAGGCTTGGGGATGTAGCTTAGTGTTAAGGCCCTAGATTCAACCCCAGTAGAAAGAAAGCAAAGAAAAGAGAGAAAGAGTCCTGCCGCTGGCTCCATGCCTACTTTGGTTCAAGAGTCTCCTTTAAGCATCTGCTATGAGCCGCAGCAGGCCTGGGGACCTTTCCTTTCCTTGCAGAAGCCTGTCTTCCTGCCCCTCCATCTCCCTTACCCAGAGCCCCTGCTCTCCCATGCTCAAGGCCACCCTTGCAGAGGTACTCTGTGCAGCGAGCAAGGAGAAGTTTCTGCCTCGTTGCAAATATTTGCCCCTGCACGCTTGCTTACCGAGGAGTCTTGGGGTGTGAGCAAGGGCCGACGATCTAGACTGCCCGGGGTCAAATCCAGCTCTCTCTTTGTTTATGATCCCTCTGTCCTCCGCCACACTGTTTAACCTCTCTGCCTCGGTTTCCTTTTCTGTTGAATGAGCCTATTACCAGGACTTTCTCAAAGGATTGTTGTGGTGAGAAATCTAGGAGTCAGTGTAAGTCAAGAACCTAGAATAGAATGGGGGTCCTGACCCATGCTTGATAAGTGTTAGTTGTTGTTATTGTAAATCTTGCTCACATTTCCACCACCTGGATATACCATCTACACAGACTCTGCAACGCCCTGCCCAAGTCCCCAAAGCCTTCTTAGCAACCTGACATCCTAGTTTCTCACCACTAATTGGGAAAAGGTTGTCACTAGCTTACCCTCCATTCTAGCACTGTGAGCTTGGGCTTTTAAAAACCACCTGTCCCTTTTCCAGCCGAGCTGGTGCATGTATGCAGCTGGTGTGTGTGCGCACACCATGCACGCACACGTGCTCACACTGTGCTCCCTGGCTCCTCAAGGAGAAAGGACTTCTCCATGGTTTCAGCTAATTCACTGTTCCTGGTCCCCACCCCCACCCCCAAGGAGCCGCTCCAAGCATCCGAGCATCTGAGCATCCGTCCTTGTCGAATTCCAGAGGTAGCTTAGCAACAGCACCAGGCATGGTGAACCCCCGGCACCCAGCAGTAACCCATTTTACAACTGCCTCCCCCATCACTCACCCACTGCCGGCCTCCTGTCGGCACCCACAGGAACCTCGGGCCCTGCGGTGGGTGCCGAGGGCCCCCAGACAGCTCCCTGCACAGTCCTACCCCATCCTCACTCCTGGGCCCCCTCTCCTCACCTTCTCACTGCAGCACCCTCAGACCAGCCTCCCATCATTTCCCTAAAATCTGGGTACTTTGACTAATCCTTTTTCCGAACTGTAATTTCCCCCGAGGCTTCTGTCAGCTGGTGGTAGATTTTGTAGGATTTTTAATTTTTTTTTTAAAAAAAGATAGAATTATAGGGTCAGCACTTACGACCAACTCCTGTGGGCGGTGAGATCTATTTTAGATATACAGCAGGATTAAAGTGGGGAGGAGAGCAGATTTAATTAAGTTGCTAATATTTAAAGAAAATTGATGAACTCCTGGTTTACGAGTTGTGCCGGTGTGGACAGACGCCCTCATATTCCGGGGGAGGCTTTTTATTTGATTTGCTTTCCTTTTAAATCCTGGACTCGTTTTATTTGTGTAGCTACACTGTCCGTTTAATTGTCTTTAATAAGGAAAACGTACCTCTGCTCACATTTAATTTTGATTTAATTAGGAGGAAGTAATTAATGGCCTCGTAAATCCCATTTTTCAGCCCCCTGGGATGAGAAACCATCACTCTTGTGTTTTCCATGTTGTTTATGACGGAGGGCTGGGGCTTGGGGGATTTCTCCTCTGGGGCCGGCCTCACCAGATGCAGTAGTAAGAATCCTGGATGCAGTGTCAGAGCAGCCTCCAGGCCACCTTTTGTTAGCTATGTGGCTTTTGGTAGGACTTAGGCCATCTCTGGGCCTCAGTTTGCCAGTCTGTATTACCAGGAGAGAGTAGTCTCTGATTCACAGGATTATCATGAGGAATCGGTGGAAAAGGGCCCTGAACTGTGCCTAGGATGTTATAGTGCCCAGCCACTGTGCTCCGTAATCCAGCTTGTGTGTACCTGGGAATGAACAGAGTGACTATGTCCCTCATAAATCCCAGAAGACAGTTGTTTATGTCATCATTTGTGCCTTTAATGTGTTCGGTGCTGAGCGAGGTGCTGGGTGCTGGAGGCATGGAAACGGACAGCCATACACACACTCCGCCCCCAAGGAGCTTGCAGTCTAACGCTGTCCTGTGTGCACACACACTCAGCTTGCCCACTGCCCACTGCCAGGGCCCCAGTGTGTGCCAGGCATGTGGACCTCAGACAGAAGAATGGAACTCGGCCTCTGCCATGAGCCCCAAGGCAGCTGAAGGCACAGATATGCCAGGATGTCACACAGCAGGCAGCATGGAGCAGAGAGGAGGGTATACCATACCGGATGGGGACAGGGAAGGATGAGGTCTCTCACCCAAAGAGGAGGGCATCTGAGAGGGCTGCCTGGAGCGGGGAACAAGCTGAGTTTCAAAGACAAGAAGGTGTTGCCTGAAGGTCCCTGGATCTCCAGGGCATCAGGAATTGGGTCTATGGCCCTTACGTCAGGAAGATAAATTAGGTAATCCTTCAATCCCTTCTGAGACTAGGGTGGGGGTGCAGATCTACACTGGGCACCTGGTATGTGTGCCAGACCCTTTCATGTATTACCTTATGGATCTTCAGAATCTGTGGGGAAACAGTATCAGCCCCATTTGCAGAGGAGAAAATAGAGGCTCAGAGAAAGGTGCCCACTAGCCCAAGGGCAGTGGCAAAGCTGGAGTCAGCACTGAGCTGCTTTCAACTTCAAAGCCAATTATCTTTCCTGATTTGTGACTTAAGCCCCCTTCTGAATAATGAAGTGGAGGCTCAGAGAGAAGAGGGCCACCAATGAGCGTGACCTGCTGGACCCAGGGAAAAGGCTGGTATCGAGACTGTCTGCTTCCGGCCTTGCAGCCCAGTGACTGCCCAGCAGCCCACTCTTCCCCCCTTTTGTCCCTCATCTGCTGCTAGAGATGCAATAAGCAGACTAACTGATGACACAGAGGGACCCCCCTGGACTTTGAAGTCAAACAGACCTGGCCCATCTTGGTCTCTTACCCTGGTAAATGGGGATTCGTTCACATGCTCCACAAAGTCAAGTTACATTTCTGCACACAGCCCGGAACATGTCTGAGACATAGTAGGTGCTCCATTAATAAGAGGGCCATCATCCCAAAGCCTTTCCGCACAGCTGAGAGTCTTGCGAAATATCTTCTCAGGACAGAGTCAGAGATGCTCTCTCTCCACTCCATTCCAGAGTCTGGACCCCGCCTAGAGCAAATCCACAGCTGCAAGCTCTTAGCTTCTGCCCAAGCCGATTGGCCCTGTCTGCCTCTGAAGTCCCCAGAGAGCAGCTTCTGGGCTCCACTGCTAGCTCCGAGTCATGCTTCACAGAAGAACATCGATGACATCACCGCTAGGTTCCACTTCCTCCTCCCTACTCCTCACTGATAAGTGATCCCTGTCTGAGGTCTGAGTTAAAATGTCAAAGGCTACAGGGACGGAATGGAGATTCAGGAGACAGAAAGAGAAAGAAACAGCCATTGACATAGTGCTTGAGTCATTGCCAACATGCTCTCATTTACTCCTTACCACACCTTCGCTAGGTAGGGCTCCAGCTGATGTCTCAAGTGGGAAAATTGTGCTCCAAGAGGTAAAATTAACAAGCCCGTGGCCACACCATTAGTGAGTGGTGGAGTTGGGAGCTGGGCTTCGCACAGAGCAAATGACTACCCCTCTCTGCCTCAGCTAACCCATCTTAGAAATGGGAATAGCAATGTTTCATAGGGCAGTGACAGAGACCCGTAAGATTATTGTTGTTAAACTTCCTCCCAAGTGGCATCTCTTCCATCACACTGCTCAGAAATGTTTGCCATTAAATAAGCAGATCAGAGGTCAGGTTGTGAAAGGGGAGCAAGAGGGACTCCAAGAGGAAACAAGTCCACCCTCTCCCACCCCATCTCCCCTGGGAAGAAGAGCGTAAACAGCCAACAGGCGAGACAGGTCTCCTCACCCCGGGCACTGCCAATGATTCAGGGCCGACGTCCTGAGATAATTTTATTGGGGGCATTAAACTGAGTTATGAGGATTTTACAATCCAGCCACTTATGAGAAATCTATTAACAGTAACTGGACAGGAAGAAGGCTTCTCAGTGGAGCCCAGGACCGGCATTAATTGGGGCAATCTATAACAGGACAGGGACCCGGAAAGGTTCCACCAGACGCCTCCATTTACTCCCCGCAATTTCTGCTGAGAATCAGCAGACTCGCCAAAAAGAGAGAGATGCCCATTAATCGGCTAATGAAATATGAAAATGTTTATGGGCCATTCAATCTTCCAAATGGCACTTCTATAATCCACCTTTCAGACACAAAGTTCTACCCGCAGAATTTACACCCTGCTCCTCCTTCGTGGCAGGGGTGGGCCCTCCTCCCTTCTCCTGACAGATTCATTGGCACCTGCCCCCTGCTCAGGGAGCTGGGGTTCACGGCACCCTGGCCCAAGTAAAGCTTTAGGGATTCTCTTGTTCATACCCCATCGCCTTGGAAGCTTAGAGAGAGCAGGGACCTGCCACGAGTCTCCAGCTTCATCCAGATGGATTTTCCTCCGCTGGGGCTGCCTTGGAGATTTGGGCATTGGAGGGTAAAGTCTTAGGTGTTTCTGTTTGCAGGAAAACATACTTTTTGCTGGTTTCTCTCCAAGAGATCTCAGTGGAACACAGACAGCCTGGGGTCTAAAGCCTAGCCGTACCGGAATGAGAGAAATTCCAGTTATATATAGTGAACATTTAGTACTAATATAATAATGATAACTATAGCTACTGTTTATTAGACACTTATTATGTCTTGGGCAGAGAGGATTTCCAGCTAGTACAAACAGGTATAGTTGTACCGGTTGTGAAAATCCTGCAAAACCTCCATGCTTACAGTAAACAGCCCCTCTCCACTCCCTGTCCCAACGCTCAGTCCCCCGGACTTTGCGGTCCAGCAACCATACCATCCCTGCCGGGACCAGTGGGGCCCTGCTGCAGTGCCATTCCATGGGCAGCGCCCTGCCACGCTGGCTAGTAAATGTAGTGCACGTCACTGGTGTCGGGCAGCTGCTAAGGACCTTAGGTATTCTCAACTCGGTGGAGCCCTCACTCGGCTCCTCCAGGAGGGCATGCTACTCTGATCGCCCTGTTACAGATGAAGGGACAGGCCCAGAGAGGTGCAGCAACTTGTACACGAACTCACAGGATGCTGATGCTGAAGCCAAGGCTCAGCCAGGCTACAGGGCCCCTCCCTTCCTGGGAGTCCTGCAGAGGCATAGGATAGAGGGGTAGTGTGTGAGCAGGTCACCCCACTTCTCTGATCCTTAGTAGGAAAATGGAAGAAAAGAAAATCTGTAAAACAAAGTAGCAAAAAGTACTCTAGTAAGGTTTGTTTTTAGAGTCCTGGCCTGGACCAGGGTACCTATTGCCCAACATGGTATGCTGGAAATGCCTGCCAGCCCCATCCCCTGTCCTCTCTCTTCCAGCCTCTGTCCCTGCTGTGTGTTAAGTCCTGAGCCCCCTGTCCCCTGTATACTGAGATGCTCAAGATGCCACCCTAACTTCCTGGGGCTCCATGCCTTCAGGAGATAGATCTATAACTCAGAGTACGGTCATGGACCTGCAGCTTGGCAGCTCATTAGAAATGCAGGCTCAGAGGCCCCACCCAGAACTACTGAGTGTGAAGCTGCATGTTAACAAGATGCCCAGATGATCTGCAGGCATGTTAAGGATTTCAAACCTCTGGCTACAGTGATCCTACAAGACTGAACATGATAATGATGCCTATAGTACTAAGAGATCTTGGAGGGCACTGGAGAGGGGAGTCCAGAAAAATTTTCTAGAAGAGATGGCATTTGGGCTGAGCCTGGCAGAGTGAGTAGATTTTCAGTGGGCAGAGAAATAAGGACCAGCCTCAAAGTAAGAGCCTGAGGATTCTGCCTGCTACAAGGCAGAGAAGTAAGAAAGGAACTGTGGTCTTCTTTGTAAGGTAATGGTGAGCCATGGGAGGACTGTAAGCAGGGAGGACTCATTCAGATTTCCACTGAGGCTGAGAGCTCAGGGGCCTGAGGGGAAGGTGGATTACAGGATGAGGCCAGAGCAAGGTGAGTCACAGACCACCACTGTGTAGACACCCAGGGTAGAGACAGACTCTGATTGGCGTGAGCCTGTCTTCTGGCCTCAGTGTCTTCAGTGAAGGCACCAGCATGTGTTGAAGGACAGATGTGCTTAGGGACAGACCCACGGTGGGACTCACGTTGGGAGGCAGAGAGGAGCTTCCTCCCGGCCTCCACCCTGCCTTCCTCCCTACTTTCCCAGATCCACTCGGACTCAGACGAGGGTGATGGGGCCATCAAGTACACCATCTCAGGTGAGGGCGCCGGGACCATCTTCCTAATAGACGAGCTGACGGGTGACATCCATGCCATGGAGCGTCTGGATCGCGAGCAGAAAACCTTCTACACGTTGCGGGCTCAAGCTCGGGACCGTGCCACCAACCGCCTGCTGGAGCCTGAGTCGGAATTCATCATCAAGGTGCAGGACATCAATGACAGTGAGCCGCGTTTTCTGCACGGCCCCTACATTGGCAGCGTGGCTGAGCTCTCTCCCACAGGTGGGCTGCAGGCACTGTGGGACTGGGTGGGGTGAGGCCTAGGTGACTGGAGAGAGGTGCTAGGTCCTGAGTGCCACTGCTGGGCAGAGCAGGAGAGACAGGAACTGCTGCCCCAGGATGCAAGGTACAGACATGAGCCCAGCTGACCACCAGGGTGGGCACAGTCCTGAACACAGGTCCAGCTGTCCAGCTGGACAAGGCTACACACATGACCTCAGCCCCATCCATGCACAATGCCCCCAGGGACAAGGACCTGCACGTGAATGTCATGCTCAGACATGGCCACACACATGCACAGTCTCGCACACAGAGCTGCATACCTGGAGACACATGAGCCCCGCCCACACACAGGCTTACCTATGCACCACACACGACCGCACTGTAGAGGCAGCCCCACAGGCAGGCAGTGCTCTGTCCCGGAAGTACACACAGGCCCAGCAGGTGCTGCACCTTCAGGAAAGTTCGACTGCACAGACACACCGCAGAGGCGGGCCCCTCTCCAGGTGCAACCAGACCAGGGCCCAGCCACACCCCAGACCCAGCCCTCACGCAGGGAGCCTCTGTACAGTCTCAGCCACAGCCATGGAGCCAGGCAAAGGCTGGTTGTGCACATGCGGAGAAGGAAGCCAACCCTCCAAAACGCACATCTGCACAAAGACATCAGACACAGCCATAGTTAAAAACCCATTTGCACAGAACAGGACAGAGGCTAAATGCTGGCTAACTCTGCCCCTCCTGCCCACTGTGGGAGCCCCAGACAGGTGTCTGACCATCAAGGCCTCACTTAGCCCAGAGCTCCCGAGGCTCCGGCAGAAACTGGAGCCATAGGGGGAGAGGCCCAAGCCAGGAGCTGCTGCTCCCTTCCCCACCGTGTTAGGCTGAGTGTTCTGTGCCCCAGGCCTAGGCTGATCTTAGCCATGCCCACAGCTTTGTGCTGCCTCTGTCTGACCTCCGGCTCCACAGCTGCACATCAGAGGCCAGGGTTACTTGGGGTCTTGGGGAAGGGCGCAGTGAGCCAGCAGAGGAAGAGGAGAGAGTGGGTTAGAGAGAATAGGGGCAGGGGGCACAGGGGACACCAGGAGAACAGGGAACAGTGTGAGTGTGGGCTCTGCAGACACTTATGGGTGCACATGTTGCCTGACATATGTGTGCCTTCTACCTCGTGTCCAGATGTATGCATGCATGGCCTGTGTGTGCTGGTGACATGCTGTATCTACTGGAATGTATTCATTCATTTAACAGTTATTTTCTGAGTACCTACTATGTACTGGGCACTGGGGACACAGCAGTGAAAAGGCAGACAAAACTCCCTGCTCTCAGTGAAGGGCACATTTCCCTAAGGAAGCCAGCAAACAAAGTATTGGTCCCATAAGACCTCTCTGAGGAGGAGATATTGAAGCAATGAAAGAAGTGAAAAGATGGGTCCTGTGAGAAGAGCATTCTAAGCAGAGAGAATAGCAGGTGCAAAGGCCCTGGGGTTTAATTCTCCTCAAGGAGAAGTGGCAAGGTGACTAGATCATGCCACTTATGCTGGGGATCATGCCATAGCTGGGGATTTGCCTTTTGTGCTGAGCAAACTGGGAAGTCAGTGGGGGGTCTTGTTCAGAAGAACGATATGACGTAACTTCATTTTAACAGGATCTCATGACAATGAAGACTAGATAGGCAGGGGTGTGGCAACAGGGGGACAGACAAGGACAAGAGTTGGTTGCTCCTGGAGAAGGATATTGTAAAGACCCAGGCAAGAAATGGTGGTGACTTGGATCAAGGTGGTACCAGTGGGAGTGTTGAAATGAAGTCGACTTGTGGATATATTTTGAAAGTAGAGCTGCAAGCATCTGTTAATGGATTGGATGTGGGGTGTGAGAGAAAGAAAACTCGAGGATGCCTATTGGGATTTTGTCCTGAGCGGTAAAATAGATGGAATTTCCACTGACTGAGATAGGAGGAGCAGATTGGGGAGCTAAAGGGAAAGCAGGAGTTTGGTTTCAAACATGCTAAATTAGCAGTGCTTATTAAGCAGTGGAGAGCTTTAAAAAGACAGTTGAATAAACAGGTTCAGTGCAGAGGCCTGGGCTGGAGAGATGCGTTCAGAAGTTGTCAGTGCCGAAGACCAGTGGAATTTCAGAGCCTGGCAAGAACTTAGAAATTAATTTTGCAAATGGGAAAAAATACGATCCAGAGAGATGGTGACATGCCCAAGGTCACACACCATGCCAGAGGCAAACCTGAATTCCCAGTCCCCACTCCCAGACTGAAAGGTCTGGCCTGAGCATTTCTGCATGGAACAGGCCAGAAAGTAAGCCGAAGCCGATGCTAGAGAAGGAAGCAGCAGCTACATCCGAAGGACTCGAGGGAAGCAGGTAGCCTTTGCAGCTCTAGAGGCAGCGGGACTGATGTTAGTTAGCATCCCCTGGGCTTGGCCCCTAGACTGTTGGAATGGCGACAGTAATGGGAAAATTGAGTCCAAGAGAAGGGCAGCAGCTCATCCAAGGTCACACAGAGTGTAGGAGGCAGAACAAATCCCCGGTTCATGAGCACCAGTGGAAGTCCCAGCCCTACCTCACCTGCCTCTCCCAGCCCACTAGCTGTCTCATTGCACTTAGCAACAAAGCAGGCAGGGTGACTCCATTTGGACAAGTCAGGGAACCCCAGACAGGGAGGGAAGAGGCAGAAGTTAAATTAGTTTATTTCATTTGAGGAACTTTTTGAAGGAGAAACAAATCCAACACTAGGGTGGTTGTGGAGAATCCAGGCAGCTCTGAAAATCAGTCACAATTACTGAGCCTCCTGAGCCAGGCAGGGGAGGGCGGGGCCGACAGGCGGCAGTGGGATCTGGGCAGCTTCAGCCATCAGAGGGAACAGGGACGCAGTTTGGGACATGAAAGGCAGCAGCGCTCACAAATTAAACCACTCAGAGCTTAAAAGGGAAAGGAAGTGTGTCAGAGGCCCTGATAAGCCACACTTCCGGGGAAGGGGGCTTAACGCAGCGAAGCATATCCTGAGCTGCCAATTGGGAGGCCGGGTGCCCACATGACCTTGGGCAAGTCCACATCATCCTCTGGGTCCCAAGTTCCCTTCTGAGCTCTGAGAAGGCTCATCCACACTGCAGATGCTGACTGAATGCCTACTGCATGCTCCGCATTATACCAGGCATGAGGGATTCTTAGGAGGCCTCCACATCAGAGCAGAGAAGAGACAAGAAAGAAAGAAAGAAACAAGGAAATATACAATACCCAGCAGTGTGAATACTATGCACAATAAGGGAAACTGCAGTGGTCTGGGGGGAGTGCTATTTTAGGTAAAGGGGTCAGAGAAGGCCTTCATTATAAGAGGACATTCAGTCAAAAGAAAAAAACCACGGAAGATGTAAAATGGTGATTTTTAAATTCCATTGTGTACTCAAATTACCAAGCGAGCTTGTTAAAGCACAGGTTGCCACCCCGCTCCCCCAGGGTGGATGAGTGGGTTGGTTGGTTTCTGTCTTCCTTTGTGGCACTATAGTCAGAGCCTTGTGCATGCTAGGTAAGTGCTCTGCCACTGAACTACACCGCCAGGTTCCCACCTTCCACCCTGAGGCTTTCTGGGCTGTTAGAAATGTTAACGAATTCCCAGATGATGTTGCAGGTTTGGGAACCACACTTCGAGAACCACTAAGCTATCAGTAGAATGTTCCAGATACCAGAGATAGTAAATGCAAAGATCTTGTTGTGTTTGAGGAAAAGTAAGATGGGTGTGGCTGAAGAGGAGTGAGGGGAACAATGTCCAGATCCCTTAGAAGAAAGATCAGAAGTTGAATCTTGCAGGACTTAGTAGCCATTAGAAAATTTTCAGCTGTACTCTGAGGGAGATGGGAAGCAGAGGAGTGGCATAATCAAACTTATATTTTAAAAGAATGACTTGTCTGCCTTGTTGAAAATAGACCCTAGGGGGAAAGGTTGGAAGGAGGGAGGTGAGTGAGGAGGAGACTGAAATCGTGAAGTCAAGAGGCAATACTGACTTGCACGGTGTAGGTGGTGAGGAGAGATGGGATTCTGGGTGTGTGCTGAAAGCAGAGCCCACAGGGCCTGGGGAGGGAACTGGATGTGGGGAATGAGAGACAGAGGAGACAGGAAGAAATTTTTGACCTGAACGACTGAATGTGGAGCTGCTATGACTAAGACAGAAACTGTTGCAGGAAAAGCAAGTTTGTGAAAGGAAGAGTTCATTCTTGGGCACGTTAGAATGGACACATTAACTGGAAACTCCAGTGGAGATGCCTAGGGGACACACGGACTAGGGGCATGAACACCAGCAGAGATGGGGCTAGAGACACAGCTCAGCATCAGAGAGGAGGGATTTAAAGCTGGAGGCTGAAGGAAATCAACAGGGGAGTGAGTTTTGATAGAGGGAAAAGCAGGACTGGATAACCTTTTGTTTGTTTATTTATTTATGTATTTATGTATTTATTTATTTTTGGAACCGGGGATCGAACTCGGGACCTTGCGCTTCCGCAGCAGGAGGCGAAACCACTGAGCTAAATCCCCCGCATGGATAACTTTTAATGTAGAGGGCCTGGACCCCTTTCCTGGGGCATCATGACCTGACCAGTAGCCAGCAAAGGGCTCCCATGCCCAGTTCAATTCACCTACTTAAGGATGCCAACTGTGTACAAGACACTATACTTGGCACTAGTGAGGATACAGGGAAGAGAAATCCAATTCAATACACATATATTAGCCACTACTTTATTCTGGGCACTGCAGGAGATGTAAAGATAAGTAACTGGATTAAATCCAAAAATGTTTATTAGCACCCATTATATACAAGGTCTTCAGTGTACTTGGCTTGACAGGGCTTGCAAAGATGAGTCATCTACCTTAGCAAACATTTAATAGGACCCACTTTTTATATAGATCCAGAGAGGATAGAAAAATAAGTAGCTACTTTGGATTCAGTAAATATGTTTTAGTGCCTACTGTATACATGACACTTTGCCAGCTATGTGGGAATGTGCAGATGAGCAAGACACTTCCCCTGACCTCAGAGTGTCTATAGATCAGTTTCACTCCCTGCACCAGCTCTGGTCAATTGGTAGTGGCTATCAGGTTGTGTTGAGGAGTCAAAGGTCTCTCCGCTGAAAAAAACACCACAGTGGGTTAATGATGTCTGCCATGGGCAAAGGGTGGAAAATGCCGTGGCCCACATGGCCTAGAATTGCCACTGCTGGACCACGGAATTGGGGCTCAATAGAAGAATGTGGAAGAATGGGCCGGGCCCTGCCGCAGCCACATTCCTGTGTATTCCACTTCCTCTGTGAGCAGCATCTGTAATGGATGGAAAAAGCCTGCTTTGTAGTACAGCCTGCACTGCTTGGGATATTCACTAAATAATAGCTATCAGCCAACACTGCTTTCACAGAGCTATTTCCCTTTATCCCTGCAATCCTGGGAAATAAGCAGGGCAGGTATTACTGTCCTCATTTTGTCGATGAGGAAATAAATGCAATGAGAGATAAAGTGATTGTCTGAGATTCTACAGTAAGAGCCACAGCCAGAACCCGGAACCAGAACCCAGGTTACACTGGACTTGCCACCCATGGCTTTCTTTGGGGAAACAGTCAAGTCTACTTCTTGCACGGGACTTCACAGCTTGAAAATCACCTTCACATCCAGTGAAGTGGTAACATGCCCATTTTACAGCCAAAGAAAGTGGGCCTCAGGAGAGGAAAGGGTATAAAAGTGGGAGAACACGTTGTCTGACTCCCAAACCCTGGGCATTCGGGGACAGTGGCAGAGAGGAACGGAGAACAGCAGGAGGCAGTGTGTTCCCTCAAGGGTCTCATTTGGGGAAGGCAGCAGCAATCTGGGAGCCGCTGATGGTCCCGGCTGCAGCCAGAGAGAGTGTGGCTCAGCAGCCCTCAGGCCCAAGCCAGGAATCAATCGTTGGCCTCTGCAGAGACAACTTCTAAAGATGTTTTTAATTAAAGTCCAGGAAGATCTATACGTGCAATATCTCTTTGCCTAGCAACGGCACTGGCTCTCACCGCCCAGGTCGGGGAGAAGGGGGCTGGAGTTCCTGGTGGGGAGAGGCAGCAGAGAGGAGCAGAGGCCCTGGCCCTTGGGAGTTGGCCCCATGACCCAGGTAATCTGGACAAGGAGGAGCTCGTCCACATCTCTCTCTATCTTTCCCATCAACAAACCATTCAACAAACTTCTAGCAGGTCTCTGTGTCAGGCCCCGTGTGCGCACAGTGCTGAGGTACAAAGGCAACAAAGCCATCGTCCTGCCCTCGAGGGCCTGGCACATAGTGGGTGCAGAGAGCATGAGTGGAACCGAGTTGCAAGCAAAAAATGTTTACTTTGTGCAAGTGGCAGAAGGGATGTGGTTGTAGACACTTACAATGTTGCTGTCCCCAATAAACGAAGTCACTAGACTACCTAACAGAGCACCTCATGTAAATGCTGAAAGGACAGTAGAGCCTGTGGGTTTCAATTTGGGGTGGCAGGAGAGTCCTCTGTCTCAGGGGAACATGTTAGCCACACACACGCACATGCACACACACACACTCGGGGTTGCCTGGATGGGCAAGGCCGTGTCTGGGATCCATAAGGAGAGAAAGTGAGGGGAAGGTGTTTGGAAGTTCACTGGTGACTCTGTAGAAAGCCCTCACCTCATGGGGCCAGACCTCACTTTTTCACTCCCTGCCCCTCCTCCTGCTTCCTGACCCTTGATTCATAGGCACCTCCGTCTCTGTGTCTGGGACTCGAGTTTCCTTCTTTGCCCCCACGTTTCTACCTCTTCCTGTCACACTATTTCTGTCCCCGTGTTCCTCTGTCCCTCATTTCTCTGTCTCTGACCCAACTGTCTGTGTGTGGGGCCTTCCCTGTTGCTTGCCTGGGACTTGCACCCTCTCCTCAGCCTTGCAGACCCTACACACACACACACACACACACACACACACACACACACACACACACACACACTCTTTCCTGTGTCTCCTGTGTATCATTCGTCTATGTTAGGCTGCCGTGGTCAGGGTGGTGGGAAGCAAGGTCAAGACCAGCCTAGCAAGCCGTGATTATAAGTGACGATGGAAGAAGGAATTGGGGAGGGAACAGGGAGGCTGGAGTTTGAGAAAGGGCTTGTTTCCTGTGTAATCTGAGTGCTCCCGGGACTCGACAAGTGGTTTTGAATTTTTAATAGAAAGCATTCTGTGCAGTGCTGGCAGCAGCAGGGGGTAGGACTCATTTTTTATAAATATTTGAGAAACTAAATGTGAACCTAGGGTATCCCCAGGCCCAGCAGGGTAGCAAAGGAAGTAGGGAAGAAGCAGAATGATAATAATTACAAACATCTTCATCATAATGACACTTGGTCACCTCGGCTGAGGACTCTGTTCTTTTGCAAAATGCTTTATCACTTCCATCTCATTACGGGGTCTCCCACACCCAGGGAGCAGCAGGGATAAAGTGTTGTCTCCATTTCACAGAAGGGGGACTGAGACCAGGTCAGCTTGGGTGGTTTTCCTGCAGCTGCACACAGAGCCAAGGCCAGGGCTGGAATGAGAATATACATATGTCTGCCCTTCCTGAGCTCCCGTGCAAGAAGAGGTAGAAACTGGGGACAACTGCAGCCTAATTGCACCTCCAAGATAGCAAGTATTAAGGGACAAGCCAGGACGTAGGTTCCAATCCTGCTCCTGGACAGTCCATGTCAGAGCCACCCTGATACCCGAGAGGTGAGGAATAGACAAGCTCCCTCCTTCTAATGCTGGCACTCAAGTTTCCTATTCAGGGCCAAGGACATGATGCAAAGAAAAGAGCAGACTTCTGTGAAGCACCCACTATACCCCTGGTCTCTCCAGCCTCTTAGATCCATCATCTCTAATCCTCATCTCAGAGATGCAGAGAGTGGATCAGATAGCACAGGTGAGGAAACAGGCCAGATGAAGGAATGACTTGATTGAGACCATAGTGTGAGGAAGTGGCAGAGTTTTAGACCCAGAGCTGTGATGCCAAAGCCCATCCGTTCTCCTTGGACACAGGAGGGGCATCTCTTCCCGGGAGTGCCCAACTTCCCACCCTGGCTTCAGCTGACCTGGTGACATGAGGCATCCTTGCTGCTGCCCCGTGGTGTCAGTCTCAGTACAGGTTCAGTGGCTCCAGCAGGGGCTCAGCTGGCTAGACAGACCTGAGTTTTATTCTTCCCCTACTACTTACTAGTGATGTGGCCTTGGAAAGTCAGTGAGTCCCTTCATGACTCAGTGTTCTCACCAGTTCAATAACAGGTTAAGTCTAGCACATCTGTTGTTAGTGCAGGGGACACTTTGGGATCGCTCTGAAGCTTGCAAAAGTTCCCTTGCCTGGGCCTGAAACGGGACCGGGCCTCAGTTTTGTTTTAAAGCTCCCAGTAGATCCTAATGTGTAGCCAGGTTAAGAACCATTGGTTTTGTACCCTCCAAGGACCAGCCACTTCATATTTAACATTCCACTCGAATCCCTGGGCCCTGATCGCCTGTTTACCCAAGACTCGGTTAGGCAGCACTTCTCTTAACCGCCACTTAGCAGAGGGGCTGGGGCAGCACCGTGGACAGCGAGCCACACGTTCCCGACTAAGTCTAGCCCTGTTCTGCCATCGGCTAGACCCAGCAGCTGGCAAGGGAGACTCTGAAGCCCACTCCTGCCCCCTTCCTCTCCTCTCCCCTTCCCCTTTGCCCTCCCCTCCCTCATTCGCCCATCTACTTCGACTCCCATCAACCCTCTCCTCCTACCTGTAAGGCGGGGTGCGCGTGTTTGGACATCGGAGTTGTCTGCATTTGAATCCTGTCTCACTCACGTCCTTGCCAGCTGAACTTGGCCAAGCACTGCCTTTGGTGCAGGACCTTGACATCTATTTAAGTTCTCGTAATGAGCACGAGAATTTGGTAGTGCTCTTACTCCTGTTTCATAGCTGAGGAAATTAACTCGGCCTCCACTCCCTCATCTGTAAAGTGGAGAGCTTAGCAGAGCTTATTGTAAGATTTTCTCCTGTAAACCCCATGAGGTAATTCACGTAAAGGTTGTATATCATAGTATCTAGTACAAAGTAATTAGTCAATAAACATAATCGTTCATTACCATTGTTATTGAATAATAAATAGCCTTGGGTTTCAGCTCGCGAGGGGCACATACTGATTTTCAGAAAATTTTCAGGCCAGTTTATATCACATTGGTGGCTTGAAACTGGGCCATGATAGAAGTCTTTACACCACAGAAGTCAGCAAACCTAGAAAGTGGGGTGTCCTCTCCACTCCATCCACACCACAGAGTTGGTGTGGGGTCTGAAGGACAGAATGGACATGGGAGTCCGTGGTAAAATGTGAACTGCTGAACCTCATGAATTGGCCCGGGGGGGATGCACTCAAGGTGGCCTACAGCAGCCACAAGCCTGGCAGCCTTTAGTCTGCCAATTCTGGGGAGCTGCTGACTGGTTGGGAAGGTGGGAGGTGTGTGGGGCTCGAGGAGGCCATTCCTGTGGAACTTGAGAGAGGAGTGGCGAATCACTGACCCTTCACTGTCCCCACATGTTGGCATTAACTGTAATGGCTGCAATAAAGAATCCTGGATTGAGGAAATGATTCCATCATCCCCACGGGAGTCCCTGGGACGCAGCCAGGGAGAGAGAAAGGGAAGAGGAGAGAGGAGAGGGGAGAGAGGGAGAGAGAGAGGGAGAGGGAGAGAGAGAGAGGGAGGGAGGGAGAGAGAGAGAAGCTCAGCTCCCATGTCCCTGGGGAGTCACTCAGCCTGGCCTTGCGGCTTGCTCATGGGGTGGAGGGAACAGGCAGGGGGGGTGGCAGGGACACTCTCCTCCTAACGTTTACAACAGCCACCACTTATGGAGCACTCATCATAAGCCCGGGGCTTTAAGAATCGTCCCCCATTTCAATATATCTGAGGGAGGCACGACCGTGCCATTGTATATAGCCTGCTGTGCCACGGGAGAAGAAAAGCACCTGCACTTATTGGGTTCCTCCTGTGGGGCGGTGCTGTCCTTGGTGCTGATCACAAGAATCCATTCGAATTCTCAAATTATCTCGGGAGCTTGTAGTATTGTCACCTGCATTTCACAAATGAGGAGACTGAGGCACAAAAGGGTTCATGCCATGCCCAAGGTCAAACTTCTAAGTGGTACTGCCATCACTGATGATGACTCAGTGTACCCCGCCGCTGTCCCCAAAGTAACTCTACCTGTGCTGACACTCTGGTATCATAGCCCTAGATTCAAATCCCCCACTTCATCACCCTGCACCCTCAGTCAAGAATTTCCCCTGTCTGGCCTGTTTCCTGACCTGTGACATCATAGAGGCCCACCTTGCCTCTCTGAGATGCTGTGGAGATACAGAGCTGGATTTAAGAGGCTGATGAGGCCAGGTGTTCTATGAGTGCTCAGGAGAAGTCTATTCCTTTCCCTTCTCTCTATATGTAGAAGGCACCTGGGGTCAAGTCCTTGGCCCTGCGTAGGAGACCCCTGGACACCCGCATCAGGGGGTGGGGGCTCCCCCACTCCTTTTCCCAGCTTCTCTGGGCAACTTGGCCATGGTTGACAGAGAGCTGGAGCTGCCAAAGAGCAGCGCATTGCAGGGCCAGCTTAGGAGACTCCAGCTGGGAGGGGGACCCAGAGAGGAAAATGAGAAATGCAAAGGAGTGAAAAATAAATACATGTGTCTGCTCAATGATGGAGGCCCCAGGCTGGAGGCGGGAGAGGCAGGCAGTGGGCTGGGCTTACAGAATTGCTGCAGTAGCACTTCCAGGCTCACTCATTAGCCAAGCAGTGAACTGGTCTCACCTCCTAGCTTGCCACTCTGCCGGCCCAGAGTGCCCTGCCCAGCCCCAGGAAGGCCTCACCCAGCCCCCAGCAGGGCACCTAGCAGAGGGCATCTCTCTGGATGGGGTCTCTGTCTCCTCCCTTTGGGTCATATCCTGAGCCTCCAAGGCTCCCTCTGGATCTTCCCTCGCACCCCCTTTTCTCTGCAAAGGTTCAGATGGACCAGACAGCTTTGCTGGCCCCTCCATCTGACCCCTCCCACACCGGGTCCAGCCTCACGTCCCCAAGCCCTGCTTTCGTCAAATTGAACATGATGTCAAATTAGAGCCATCTCTGGGACAGGCCGGGAGAAGCTCCCAGTTTAATGAGGCAGCGTCGAAAATCAATAACTTAATTGCCGCTGTTTGATGGACTTTTATCCAATTTATACTCTCCCCAGCAGCCTACGTGCAGCGCATGAGGATCAGTGTTGTGTGACTGGTGGGGGGCTGTCTGGGCGCCTGGGGGAGGGGCTCACGGTGAGCTACCTTCTGAAGGGAAAGCTGGGCACTGCCGTCCTCCTGGCCAAGGGCCGAGAGACACTAGCCTCTGGGCCCCAGTGAACTTGCTTGTCCCCTGGGCTGTGCCCTACTGCTCTGGTGGGGACAGGAAAGAGTGTGAGGGATCTAGAGGGCTTTGCAGGCAGCTTCCGGGCTTCCAGTCTGGGCTCTAACTCTATGATGTGATGATCTTAACCAACGATGATTATTACCACCAACTCCAAGAGACTGCCCTGAGCCTCCCTACGCTGAGTTTTAAACTCACTCCTTCTACCTGGTAACCAAGGACTAAGATTACCCCTGTTCTGCTGAAGGGAAATTGGAGATTTAGCGAGGTTCCTCCCTTGCCAGGATCCTACAGCTGAGAACCACGTAACGGAGAGCTGAACCCAGATCTGACTCCGTGGTCACCCTTGTGCCACCAGGAAGGCCCCTGTCAGGATGCCACTGGGACTCAGTGTGGGATGGGGCCTGTGAGGGGCTGGCTTTGGTGACCTCCACAAGGGGCTTATCTCCCCGATTTCTGGCATGGAGAGAGGTGGGAGGGACAAGCACAGCAGCTCCAAATGACCGCTGTCTCGCTTGGTCCCCCGGGTCCAGGCACATCTGTGATGCAGGTGATGGCCTCAGATGCGGATGACCCCACTTACGGCAGCAGTGCCCGGCTTGTATACAGCGTGCTGGATGGCGAGCAGCACTTCACGGTGGACCCCAGGACCGGTGAGAGGCGGGCCAAAGGGATGGGGTCAGGCCTTGAGGGCGTGCTTGCGAACAGAGCCAGTGGGATGGGACAGACCTGACCCAACAGCACTGAAAAGCACCTTGACCTGCAGGACACTCCAGGGTCTCAGGCAATCAGGCAAGAAAGGGGCAGGACAGTGGGACAGAAAAATATGGGCTGGGAGTTCCCACAAGACTAGCAGAGAACCAAAAGGGCAGAGGCAACTGCTTTGGGCACCTGTAAGGACCCCAGATCTCTGAATCATCTGCCTCCTTTGTCCCTGGAGTCCTTACCGGGCCACAGGTCTAAGTTCAGGGAGAAGAGGGGCATCTCTTCAGCAGGTCGGAAATCTCTGTTCACGTGGCAGTTGCAAGGAGCTGATAGAAAGACAGAGATGCTTAGAGACCATTTTGGAAAAATGGCTTCTCATTTGCTTATTTGGCCACCAAAACCACTCCCCACTCCCTCACACAACACACCATCAAAGAAGGGTGCAACATCCATGGTCCCCCACTTCATTTCCTCTGAGCCGAAACTTGACTAATCTCTGAGGAGCCTTGAACGAGTGCCAGTGCAGACAGAATGAAGAGACTGAGGCTCAGAGAGGTGAAGTGACTCACTCAAGGTCACACAGCTGTGAGAGCTCCCAATTCCAATGGAGTGCACTCACTGCTCCTGGGATAGGCAGGAGGTGAGACATCAGACAGCGCAGTGTACAAATGCCATCACAGGCAGTGGGGGCAGGGGACAGTCATATGCTTGGCCAATTAGGATTTCCGGCTTTTAGGAGGCAGTAGCAGCAAGCACCAAAGGATAGGAAGGTGTCAGCCAGATGGAGAGCTCAGGGAAGGGCATTCCAGGCAGAGGGCATGGTACAGGCAAGGGCTGGGAGGAGCAGAAATGCCTGAGGCATGAGGGGAATTGTAAGCAGGTCCCCTGGAAGAACCAGGCCTGGGAAGAGGTGATGTGGCCTGGCTGGTAGGGGCCTGGCTGTACCGGCATAAGGCAGGATGCAGAGCTTAGATTTTATTCTAAGGGCAATGGTGGGAGTTGGGAGGGTCTAATGGATTGGCTTTGGGGTTTTTGTTTATGTCTTTGTTTCGCTTTGTTTGTGGGAAGGGGAAGATTCCAGTCTATACGCACAGTTACAATTGTGTTCTCTTACACATAGCATCTTCATTATTTTTTTCCTCCTTCCAAAGTAATACATGTTAGAAAACATTCAAATATTAAAGAAATGTTAAAAAGAAAGAGCTTCCCACTCCTTTGGTAATTGCAACTCCAAGGGTAGCCACTTGCTGTACATATCCTATGAGCTTAGACTCATTCACTTGAAAAATATTAAGTCATTTTTTTCAAAATAGATTATACATTCCAAGGTTCAAAATTCAAAAAGTTCAAACGAATATTTAGTGGCAATTCCTTTCCCCATCCAGTCCCCAAGCCATCCAGTCTGTGTCCCCAAGGCAACCAATGTAATTTTCTTGTGAATCTTTCCAGAGCTATTCTATGCATGTTCAAGAAAATAAGGCACAAGTATTTGTTTTATTTTTTACATGAATGGTAGCTATAAACACACACTGTACATCTTGCCTGCCTCTTTGGCTTAACAGTACATCCTGAAGATTCTTCCAGATCAGTTCACAAAGAGCTTTCTCATTCTTTTATTTAATACTTGTTATGGATACACTAAAATTTATCTCACCAGTCCCTTACTGATGGACACTTACGCTGCCTCTAATCTTTTGCCACAGTGAACCATGCTACAGTTAATAACCTCCTGCATACATGATGTTGTGCTCATGTGAGTCTATCTGCAGGATAATTTTCAGGAAGAGGAAAAGCTGGCTCGAAGAGCACATGCATTTGGAATAGGATAGATAATGCCGAAATATACCAAATTATGCTCCTACAAGCCACGTATGACACTTCCTGTTTCCCCTCCTCCTCACCAACACTGCGGGTTCATTGACGACTTCTAAGCAGGGAAGTGACATGCTCAGGTTTTCATTTTAACAAGATCCCTCGGGCAAGTACTGTAGAGTTTGGCTCAGAGACAAGAATTGGAGGCAGGAAGGCCCCAGAGCATGGGGTGACCAACATAGGGCCCCAGAGGACAAAAACCAAAAGTTTGCCATCTTTCTCGGCATTCACTTGGATTCTTTAATTTGCCTATCTAGTTAGGAAGGCAGAGATGATGATGAATTGAGAATGACGTGTTCGGGATGCTGAGGAGGACAGGAGGTACAGTGAGACTCTGGAAAGGGCAACCACTGGGCTGACTCAGTCCCCAAAGTTAAGAGCCCTTGATTCCTCTCTCGACCCAGACCTGCATATTCATCTGTACAAGGGGCAGCTCCTACAGACACAGAAGAATGGATGGGGATTACAAAAACCACCTAGGAGCAGAGGAATTAGCAAATGTGTCCTGGAGTCTGGTGCAGAGCTGAAGAATCCAGCTTTGACTGTACTGGCTTTACAATGAGAGAAGTCAAGGAAGGAAACCTCTAGAACTCCCACCGGGCCATCCGAAATATGGTCATGGAGCTGTGAAAATGGTTGACGCTCTTTAAGCTTTGGCTTCCTATGTGAACAAGGGAGATAACAGAACCTCCCTCCTATGACTGTAGAGAGGATTCAATGGAAGAGTTCATTTATCCATTCAGCCATGTGTTGAGTGCCTCCTATATGCCTGGCTGTGGCCTTGGCACTAGGAACACAGTAGCGGACACATTCAAGAGTGTCTTCATGGAGCTTTTATTGACCTAAGGGAGACAGAAAATAAACATACATGTATAATTCAAGTAACAATCAGTAAAAGGAAGAAACATCAAACAGAGTAGGGAATAGGATTAGATTTAAAAAACAAGGCAGGCTTCTGGGGAGCCAACTTTGGTGTAGAGACCCAAAGAGAGGGAAGGTATGACCCACAGGGCTTTCTGAGGAAGAGTACTGTGCGCCAAAGGAACAGGGACCATGTAAAGTGCTCAGCCCAGCCCTTGGTGTAGGGGACAGTGGTGGTGCTGGTGGTGGTGGTGAAGTCTTCATCCAGCTGCCCAGATAAGATAGGGGCTTCAGGGTAGAAAAGTTTTTGGGAGGAGAGGAAGAAAAAGAACACAGAAATAAGAGAAAGGCCAGGACTGAGTCTTGGGAGGTGGTAGGAGTGAACAGATGAAAGCTCTAACTCCAAGAGAGTTGGGAGGGCATCCACATTCTAAGGATCACTGTAGAGGAACTGTAGAGGATGGGGAGGAGGACGGCCAGTGGGAGGTCCTGGAACCCCAGCAGAGCAGGAACAATTCCCCAGCAGCCAGAAAAGGAACATCATGCAAGGCAGGGCAAGGAGTTCAAACTGGGTCCTTGTTGTAGGGTCCTCAATTCCTCAGTCCAAAGGGTCTTTTCTGACATTTGCCAGAAAGAACCAGACATTTCCTTCCCTTGCCCTGAGCACCAGTGCCAGTGCTGCCCCGGTACCATTTCCCAGCCCCAGCTCCATTTCCCCAGATAGGAATATTCCGCTGATGCGGGTCTATATTTAGCAGCTGCTGCAAGGTACAGTCTGTTCTTGCTGTGCAGATAGCAGGGAGCAGAACCGGAACGAGGCCTGAGAGGAAGGTGTGAGGGAGGGAGGAGGTGGGGCACCCGAGGCCCAAGTGCCAGAGGAAGAATTAACTTGTGTGTTTTAAAGGCCAGGCCTGCCAGCAAGCCCCCCAGGGGGGGCGACAGGGATGGCATTTATGGGCTAATGAGGCATCACATGGGCTCCAGGGGCCCTTGTGCAGCATTTGGAGGGGCCAGCAGGGGTGGCAAGGACAACAGCTGGAACTGGGGGCGATGGGTGAGGACAGCCCTGCAGGGAGTCGTGGCCAGGTTATAATTACCAGCGCCCGCCCACCACCCAGCAGGAATAGAAAGACTCTCAGAAACTTCAAGATCTCTCCTGAAAATTCTCAGCTGGGCCAGAGACGTCCATTTTACTGAGAAGAAATGAAACTAACATTTGTTGAGCACCTGTGAACTGCTAGATCCTGGGGTCAGGCTGATGAACTAGACGTGATTTTGCCCTCACAGAGACACAAGGGCTAGAAACAAATAGGCAGTTACACCCAGCTGCAAGGAGGCAAGGGAGGGGCGGTAGGAGCCAATCCGCCAGTCCATATGTTACCTGAGTGCTTTGTGCCAGGCCCGATAGATACACTGACGAACAATACCAGCATGGATCTCTGCCCTTGTGGAACTTACTCGTGAGGTACCCAACTCAGGGCTCGAGGGAAGGGATCAGTGCGACATCTTCAAATTGTGAGACCTGCTGCTGGAAGCTTCATCTCATCTAAGCTCTTGACAGCCACACCGCATGGGTATCTCCATCTTACAGGATGGGGAAGAGAGGCTCAGATGGATTCAAGAACTTGCCCGAAGTCAGATGGCATGGGAAGGGTGGCAAGAAGGCATGAAGACATGAATCCGTGTCTGTCCGATTGGAGTCCTTCCCTTTGACCCTGCTCGTATGTGATTCTGGGTATCCCCAGCACATAGGCGGCTCCAGTGATATGGCTAATGAATGAATGATGAAAAAGTGGACTTGCCGAGCCAGCAGGTTTCAAGAACACCTTCATGGACTGACTTGAGGTTTTTGTGCCCCCAACCCCTCAGGAGTGCAGCCGCCTTCATGATGCTTCTCAAAGCCTCAGGAGGTAGTGAGGAGTGGAACATGGTAAGGGGAAAATACACCATTAATTTCTCCCATCTTTTTGCACAGCCTCTTAGTGCAGTCATCCCTCAGTATCTGTGGGAAGTTGGCTCCAGGACCCCTGCAGAGACAGAAATCCATGCAAGCTCAAGTTCCTTACATAAATGCCATAGTATTTGCTTATATCCTCTCGTATACTTTAAATCATCTCTAGATTACTTATAATACCTAATGTAAGTAAATACTACGTAACTAGTTGTTACGCCCTATTGTTCAGGGAATAACAACAAGAAAAAAGAGTCTACACCTGCTCAGTACAATTTTTTTTCCTGAATATTTTTGATCTGCAGTTGGTTGCATCCAAGGATGCAGATCAACCTACAGAGACAAAACTTACAAAGGCAGGGCACCAACTGTAATGCGTCTTTGCCACTCCCATGAAGAGGTGGAGTCTGTTTTCCTCTCCTTTGACACAGGGCTGACCTGTGATTTGCTTTGGGCAATAGAGTGTGGCATAAATGATATTATGCAAATTCTAAGATTAGCTCTTAAGGGGCCTTGCAGCCTTCACTTTTGCTGTAGTTCTGAGACCGCCATGTAATAAAGCCAGCCTACTAGAGGATGAGAGAACCAGTGTGTCCCAGCCAGCAGCCAGGATCAACTGCCAGAGGTGTGGATAAGGTCATCTTGGACCTTCTAACCCGGCTGATCCTCCAGTGAAGGTCAGACAAAACCAACAGAGGGGCCGCCCCACCAATTGGGTTTCTCTGTCCACTATCTACATAGCAAAATGCTCTAAACTTAAGTGGCTTAAAACAACCATCTATTCTTTGTCACAATTCTGTGGGCTGGCTGGGCAGTGCCTTTGTGGAGGTCATTCATTGGCTGTCAGGTTGCTGGGGGCTGACTTGCTGGAGGACAGCTGCATGCCTGGGCCTCTCTCTGTGTGTGGCCTTTCATCAGGGCTTCTTCATTGCACAGTGATCTCAGGATTTCAGAAGACAGGCCCTAGCACACAAAGACATATAAAGCCTCTGCTTTTGTCACTGTGGCTGATGTCCCACAGGCCAAAGCCAGCCACATGCCCAAGTCAGATTCAGTGTGGGAGGGGATGATCCAAGGTTGTAAACACTGAGCAATGTAGTTCATGGGGAGCTCTTCCCATAGCAACCTGCCATAGTGTGTGACCTGGGGTTGGGATCCAGGGGCAGTGCGGCCTCTGCATTCCTACCTCAGAGATGCAGGGATGGCACCTGAATTATACACTGTGAGACTTTATGGCCAGTTTCTGACTGAGAAGCGCAGTGTCCTCAGCTCCTCTAGAGCTAGAAATGGCAGGGAGAGCAGGGAGGCTAGCCATTTAGACGAGACCCCGTGCCTGGGACCCCCGATCTCTGGCCTGGTGGCCACTGCCCTGTCAGTCTGTCTGCCAGCCTCTCCTTGCTCCCTCCCACGGTCTTCCATCACCACTTCTGGTCCCTCTCCCTCCCTCCCTGTTGTCTGCACATGTCTGCTCACTCTGTCTCCTTTGCGCTTTGCCCCCTTTTCTTTCCTTCTCTCTGTTTTCCTCCAGATTTCTGTGTCGCTGCTGGTGTCTCTCTCTCTCTGTCTTTCCCTGCATATCTCCCTGGCCGTATCCCCCTTCCGGCCCTTCTCTTTTTCTCTTTTTCTGTCGTATTGTGTCTCCTTCCCTCTCCTTTCCCCTCACATCTCCTTCCCTCCCCACCTTTCTCCTCTGCCTCTGGGTCTCAGTGTGTGTCTCTCTGCCCAGCTCATTCCCTCCTGTCTCTCACTACGTTTCTCTGTCTCTTTCTCCGGGGCTTCTTTTCTTCTCTCTCTTTCTGTCACTCTCTTTCTTTCTCTTCTACCATCACCCTTCTTCCTCACCTCTGTCTTCCCATCTGCTCTTGCCTCCCTTCCCACCCCCAGGGCAGAGGATGTGACAGGCTCCACCTTCCAGAGCTGCCAAAGCTCAGCAGGGAGGCCAACAGAGGCCCAGAAGGGCACTTTTCCCATCCCCAGCATCTCAGAACAGCTCTAGGGAATAGGCCAGGGGCCCGACTGCGGGATTGAGAAAACAGCTGGCCTCATCGGCCCGCCCGGAGGACAGTGAAGCGGGTACCCCAGGGGCTACATCCCTGCACTGAGAGGTATGAGGACACTTATGGAGACCTGCAGGGCAATTCCAAGGTGGACTCTGACCCTGGAGTGCCTATTTGAATACCTGTTGGGTGCTTTCTGCCATGTGACCTTGGGCAAGGGACCTGGCCTCTGTGTGTGCCTGTCTTCTCGCCTGTGAAATGGGTCGCGTCCTAGCAGTTGCCTCCTAATGGTTGTTGAGAGGATTAAATGAAGCAGTTCACTTAAGGTGCTTGGAAGGGTGTCAGGGACAAAGTAAATGTATATAACAAGTGTTTGTTATTGATGTGATTATCATGTTCAGTTTTTCTAACTGATTATCAAGCAGTTTCGCTCCAGGGTCCATTTGGCAAAGTCTAGAGGCCTTTTTGGAACTGGGTAGGGGCTATACTGTCCTGTAGTAAATAGAGGCCAAGGATGTATGGGATAGCGCCAAACATTAACACACACACACACCACAGAATGACCCTGCCCAAAATGTCACTTGTGCCAAGTTTGAAAAATTCTATTCTTTAAGTAGGTATTGTAGTTGTCCCCATTTAACAGATAAGGAATCTGAGATTTAGAAGGGTAAAGGAATTCGCCCAAAATCACTTGGCCAGAAAAAAAAGATAGATCTAGGACTTATCTCAAAGCAATCTGCTTTGGAGACTCCCCCGTGTGAGACCAGCCGTGGCATGAGGTGGGGGTAGGAGGTCCCCACTGAGGAGCCACAAAAGGCTGTGGATAGCGGTCCTTATGACCCTTGATTAGACAGAATGCTTGTTCTGTCTCCATGTGATCCCCAAAAAGCAGGACCATCCATCCCTGAGGCCTCCCCATCCCTGACTCACACACACACACACACACACACACACACACACATACAAACACTACTGCCTCTCCTCCTGTTCCGTTGCCTTTATTAGAATCCAGAGACTGTTTGGGGACATCAGGAGTCAGAGCTTGAGTTTTATGGGGCGCATCATGGGGCTACTGGTGCATGACTCCACCTGGCGCTTAGGCCCAGGGCGCCACCTGTCACCACCTGGCACTTGGCAGGTCAGAGTGGGTGTTGGGAGAGGCTCTGGACACCTGGTCAACTCCCCTCCCCACCCGACTCTCTTCTGCTGGCAGAGAGACAAGAAGCCTGGCCTTGCCGGGCAGAATTAATCTTGTAGTCACCCTGTTCTGCTCCCTCCCCTACTCCCATTAGCATCCTGGAGGATCCTCTGTTCAGCAATTAGCTGGTGCTGGGACAGGGGATCCAGGGCCAGGTGGGGGCAGGGCTGGGCCCCAGGATGGGAGATGATTTGATCGTGGAGAGGGATGCAGGTGGATAGGAATGTGGGGTGGCAGCTGTGGCAGTGTGTGCCTTTGTGTGTGTTCTTATGTGTACCACGCGTAAGTGTGTGGACTGGGGCATGGCTGGGTGAGTGGGTGTACCTGAGCATGGATGTGTCTGTTCACTTCATTAGACACTCACTGGGCTGCTACTCCATACCCAACTCTGCACTGAGTGTTACTGACGGGGACACATCAGACAGAGGCCAGGCTCACGCAGAGAATGTCAGTAGGGAAACTGAGGCCCCAAAGTGGGGGTGTCGCACAGTGGCAGGTTCTATTCCACAGGCCACATCTTAGTAAACCAAGTGATCTTTACTTTTGTTATTGTGTTGTGTCTGTGTATATGAATGTCGGTGTGTAGGGGAGCATGTGTGTGGGCATTTGACAGTGGGTATGAATGTGTGTGTGTGGGAGGGGATGCATGCTTGACAGAGTGTGTGATAGTTGTATGAGTGTGAATGTGTGTGTGTGCACACATGAGAGTGTATCTGAGTGCATGTGTGCGTGTGTGGGTGATCTCTGTGGGTGTGAGTGCCTTACACAAGTGGCCTGTGTAAGCCCGGCCAGACTGTGGCCACACCAGTGTCTTCTGCATCATCCACATCCTCCGGAACTTGAACCAGCCCACAGCTCAGCAGGGTGCTGGGCCTCCCCAGAGGCTGGAAGCAGGGCCAGGTTTCTCTGCCCCAGCCTCCCTTCCCCTCATCACCCTCCCTCAACCCCTCTCAATCCCCCATCCTCCCCCACCCACAGGTGTGATCCGGACCGCTGTGCCTGACCTTGACCGAGAGAGCCAGGAGCGCTACGAGGTGGTGATTCAGGCCACAGACATGGCGGGCCAGCTGGGTGGCCTCTCGGGCTCCACCACTGTCACCATTGTGGTCACCGATGTCAATGACAACCCGCCCCGCTTCCCGCAGAGTGAGTGAGGCGACATCTGTGCATGTGTGTGTGTGTGTGTGTGTGTGTGTGTGTGTGCGTGCCCACCCGGGGTGTCCGCTCACCCACAGGCCTCCTCCAGCCAGGCCTCCTGCAGAGGAAGCCCTGGCCATCTAAGGAACACGGCAACCTCCCCACCCCTCCCCTTGCCCCTGTAGAGCATGAGCCCACACTGCTGTCCAGGCCCCAACCCCTCCCTGGCCCTGGAATCTTGCATAGCCAGGTACCCCTAGCCTAAGCTGGCAAAGAGAAGGTGTGTGTCAGGGTGGCTTCGTGGGGATAGGATCCAAGGCAACAGCCACCACACCCGGGCAGACACTCTGGGCTGTGCCCGGAGACACTGACCCTAATGACAGGCAGCAGTCCCTCGTCCTCTGAGCCTGGAGGGCAGGCATCTGTGCTCATGAATCAGGGCGTCTTTCCACTCTCTTCTCCTGGCACAGTGGGGGATCAGGGGCTTCTGTGGCCCAGGTCCCCACCTCCCCAGCAGCCCAGCCAGCCCCTCAGTCCCTGGCTCAAGCCAGAGCCACTCAGGCCAGGGAAGCCTCCGAGGCTGGCAGAGACTAAATGCCTCTGGGAGCCGGGCTGATTCCTATCGGGCGAGTCATTACTTGAGGTCTGCTGCTCTCACATTAGGCCCTGCCACAGGGGACTGACCCCCGAGAGATAAGGGAATCCAATCCCTTAGCTGAGCGCACAGCATCACCGTGGCCCAGAGCTTCAGCCCAGACAGAGCGGGGTGGGCAGAGCTGCCAGCCAGCATGGGCACCAGCACCAGGAAGGGCAGCTCAGGAGCTGACCCATGGCCCGCACTCCCAGCCTGGTCCCACCCTCTGATGGGGAGGCTTGGGAGCACCATGCTGGGGGGACCCACCCGCCTGTGCTCAGCTAAGCCAGGCTCTGAGTGGAAGAGGGGGGCAGCGCCCAGAGGAGGAGACTAGGGTCCCAGACGGGCTTCTTCCTTCATCCTCATTTCTTTATTGTGCAGTAGAGCACACAAACAGAAGGGCATGAACTAGAAATGTCCAGTCGACAAATAAATTATAAAACATGCACTCTAGTAATCACCAGCCAGGACCCCAGGAGCCCCACTGTGCCCTTTCCTGGTCACAACACCCCACCCCTTCCTCCCGTGCTAACCAACACCCGCTTTTTTCATCGTTGCTTTGCTTCTTTTCAGAGTCTGCGGCTCTGTGTGCACTGCCAAACACCATAGTCTAATTACATCCAGTTTTGAACCTCACATAAGTAGAATCATAAAATACAAATTGTTTTCTGATTTGTTTTTCTTGTCTCTCAAAATTATGTACATGAACTCACACCATTGTTTGTAGTGTTATTCATTTTCTTTAAAAATTTTTTACTTTTATTAATACATGTTTACAGTACATAATGGTTACGTTCACTGTGGAAAATTGGTACATGTATGTATCACATTTCAATTCTTTCCTCACCTTCCCTCCACCCCCTTTTATTTTTCCAGCATTAGATTCATAGGTCTATTCATTTTTCTTGGTATAGTATTCCATCTTTTATCTATTCTGCTGTGAACAGGCCTTTATGAAGGATCCTGCTTTGACATCACTGTACATGTCTCCTAGTGCCCGTCTGCACACATTTCTCTAGTGTGTATACAGAGCAGTAAAATGGCTGGGCCATGGCATACTAGGCTTTATTAAATAAAGCCAAACTGGTTCCCCCAGAGGAAAAAAATACTTGTGTGACTGGTGCTACACCCTCACCAGCACTTGGGATTGTCAAAGCTTTAATCTGTGCTAATCTGACAAGTGTGTTCCGGTGGCTCCTGCTGGGCTTTCATATACTCACTGCCCCTAGCGCCTGTCCTCTGTGTGACAGCCTGGTGTACGGCCAGGCACGAGCAGTCCCCGCTGAATAAGCAGCGCAGTTGCTGCCTCCCGGAGCTCACTGTGAGGCAAGAGCACACACAGAGCTCGAGCATGAAATGTGGAATCCCCACAGTGGGGGGAGCAGGCCTTGGGGGAGCAGGAGGGCCCTGAGGAGCTGAGGGAATCGAGGAGGGGAGGCAGAGAGGGGCCGAGGGCAGGACCCAACCTGGACCTGGAAATGAGAGAGGCCTCTCTCCCCAGACCTCTCCGTAGCCAGACTTGGAGCGGAGATGTCAGCAGGGACCAGGCAGCAGCAGGGTCTTGAAGGACAGGCCAGGGCCTTGCACAACTCCATCCCCAGGGCAGTGGGAAGCTTCGGAAGGGACTAAAGCAGGCAGCAGCATGTTCAACCTGGGTTTTAGAAAGGGCCTCTTGGCTGCCATGGAGAGTGACCCAGGCAATCACTGCACACAGTTACCCAGATGTGTGCAGGCCCCAGGAGGCACGTCAACCTTCCCACAGCCCCTTCTCCACCTGGGCTGGTTCATCATGGAGGGGCTTTGCATCTGCTATGTCCTCTGTCTAGAATGCTCTCTCCTAAATACAGTAATACCTCGGTTCACGAATGCTTCTGTTTGGAAACAATTTGGTTCACCAACAAAAGCATTCAGCAGAATTTTGCTTCCACTGGCAAACTCCACATCGGGTGACAAACACGACCACAGCCATCTTCCCCACACAAGCACAAACACAGCCGTCTTCTCCAAAATCGTAAGACAAATTTAGTTTGTAAACCGAGGTACCACTGTATCTGCTTGGTCACTCCCTCCAATGTGCGCAAAAATGTCACCTTGGTGAGGCCCTTGTGTGTGTATGTGTGTGTGTGCTTGTGTGTATGATGCTGAGATCAAACCCAGGGCGTTTTGCATCCTAGACAAGTGCTCTGCCACTGAGCTGGACTGCAGCCCTGGTGAGGCCATTCTTGATCAGCCTGTGTAAAATGCTGCAGCCCCTTCCTCAGCGCTCTCATGTGTTCCCTGCTTTTTCTCCCGAGTTCCTCTCACCATTAGACACTCATTTTTCCTGAAGTGATTGCTTAGTGCCCTTCTCTTTCCATTAAGAGGAAAGCACCCGAGAGCTGGGATTTGGGGCTATTTTCTTTGTTGCTGGAACCCCAAGGCCAGAACTGCATTATTTCTAGGACAGCAGAGGTACAGAAATGAAGGAATAAACACCATTAGCATTAGCAGGAGAGTCAGTACACAGGCCGATCATTTTCATACAGTCTGCTCTGCTTACTGAGCAGCTACCATGTGCTGGGTGTCGTGCTGAGCATTTTACAGGCATCATCGTTACCTTGCCTTAGGAAGGCGCCCTTGTTCCCACTTTACAGATGAGGGATCCAGGCCTCAGGGTCCACAGCTAGAACCAAATCTAGAGCCTTAGCCTTTATTTTTATGTTCATCTGTTACCCTCACTAGGCAGATGGGGAAACTGAGACCCAGGGAACTGTGGGCATTTTCCCAAATCAATGGGTAAATAACCCAAGGGTCAGCACAAGGATCCTCCACTTTGCACCGCTTCCAAAAGTCTGCATAGGACAAGCCTCTCCTACCCCTGCCTGGCCAAGCTGGGAGCCCCTTGTAGATAATACCCCTTCATCCTTCATGGTCGAACATCTGGGCCCCTCCTGCCTTCCCTGGGGCCAGTGGAGACCAGGATCTTCTGTCTCCTCCCTGCCCATGGCCATGTCCCTGCAGAGATGTACCAGTTCAGCATCCAGGAGTCGGCATCCATTGGCACAGCTGTGGGACGAGTGAAGGCCGAGGACTCAGACGTGGGCGAGAACACGGACATGACTTACCACCTTAAGGACGAGAGCGGCAGCAGTGGCAATGTGTTCAAAGTCACCACGGACAGCGACACTCAGGAGGCCATCATAGTAGTACAGAAGGTGCGGCTGCTTCCAGATGGGTGGGGGGCAGGTCTGGACAGCAGGCCCAGGGAGGCTTCCACGTTACTGTACCCCAGGGATGAGCTGTCTCCAGAGACCCGGGGCCAACTGGGAAGACACTGACAATACCATTCCCGTTTTGCAAGTGAGAAAATGAGGCACAGAAAGGTTATTTCTGACTTATTCCAGGTTGCACAGCTACTTACCAAAGCCAAGATTCAATACAGATTTGAATCCGAGCTCTTAAATGCTATGCTATGCTACTTAGGCTACTTCAGCTCCATTTCAGGCCCTTCACACATAATTTCCTTTAATTCTTATCCTTTCTTCTAAAAGAGAGGTCTTTATCCTCATGTTTACAGGTGAGAAAACAAACTCAGGTAGAGGGCTTTGCCCCAGATCTCATCTGTAAGGGATAGAGTTAGGATTTGTACCCAAGTCCTGCGTGTTCAAAGCTCTTTTCTACCTAACAGCCTTCCTTACTCACCGGGTGACCCGGGAACCAGAAAGCTAAAACTGCAAATTCACCCACTGCTAGGAGAGGGGGGTGGAGGTCAAATAAGGAAGCAGAAGTCCACCTTCCAGGATTTGGCTAGGGGCTTGGTAACTCAGGGCTGTGCAGGCCTTTAAGACTCTCCACAAAATCCCACTTTCCCCCAGGGAGGCGGAAATCCTCTGCATTGGCCCACAAGTTGTCATAGGCCTTTGTGTGCTCTCAGGGACAGGAGGTTCACTCTCTGTTGTTGTCCAGCTCCTAGTCCTTCCACTCAGCTGGGCTCTGCCACTTCAGATTTTCTCTGACCAACCTGGGCTCTGCCTTCTAGGACACCGATGTCTGCCCCCAGCGGCCCTTTGTTCACTCTGCAAGCACACAATGGCCCACTCTTGACCTTGCCTTGAGAGTTGGAGGGTAGAGAAAGTACCCAGTTCCCTCAGTGCCTTTCTGGAGGATAATACCACCGTGGCCAATTCTAAAGTGCTTACCATAGGCCAGGTGCTCTTCTGCTGCTTCCCACATATTAACTCAGTCTCTACACTAACCAAGTCTTATCATTGTCCACTTTACAGATGAGAAACTGAGCCCTTGAGAGGGTCAGTAATTTGCCGGGGACCACATATACCCAGTAGGGCTACGCCCAGGGATTCTGGCTCCAGAACCACCCTTCTAAGCCTCGTGTGGTTTTCAGCCTTTTGCTCTCTATGCATACTTACTGTAAGATGAGCCCATTTCACAGATATAGAATTGGAAGCCCAGAGAGGCCTACCATCCTAGAGCAGCAGAATCAGCCCCTAGCCTGGCTTTGGGGTTCCCACACCCATAGAGCTCCTCTGTCCTGGCTCCCCACAGCTCCCACCTGCTCCAGAGCCACTGAGGTTTCTGTGGGTATCAATGACAGTGCAGGGAGCAGAGCCCCACCTGATTGATGTCCTGGTTCCAGGCTGAGTCCATGGCTCACTCCTGGGCCGGGTCCCTGCCTGCCTCCCTGCACCCTCATTTCCCAGGCAGCAGGATGGAAAAAGGGGGTGGCCTTTTGTGCTGCCAGGGAAGGCAGAGTGGGCCTTCTGGGAAGCATGAGGGGACCCTGTCCACAGAGGCACCATCTGGGGGTCTCTGGCCAGCATAACAACTCCATGCAACCAGGCCATCTGCCACTCCACCGCTGCAGTTCTCTGCTCTGAACGCTGTCTTTAGCTGGCCAGAGCTGCCGCACAGCCAGGGAGCTCATTCATCAGAGGTCACACAGCTCAGTGTGCATTCAGCCAGGGCTCCAGGAAAGCACAAGGCAGCCGGGCTCATCAGATGCAAGTCCTGTGAGTCACCACCTCCTGGGTAGCAGGGACTGACTTCTACTTACCCTGAGGCCCCAGAGGCTAACTAGGATGCCAGTCATAGTGGTCTGCAGCAGGGCCAGGATCAGACCCAGGTCTGTGGGACTGCAAATCCAGGACCCTGTCCACCAGTGTGACAGCCAGGGCTTGGGAGCCACAATGCCTGGGTTTGAATCCTGGCTCTGCTAGTGACTCTGGAGCAAGTTATGCCTTTACTCAGGTGTAAAATGAGATAATAATACAATTGCCGTAAGTGAAACTGAGTTAATAAATTAAACCACTAACACATAGTAAGTGCTTTGTGTTTGTTCAAAAAAATTAATGAATGTCCCAACCTGCTATGCAGGAAGGCAGGAAGTCTGGGCGTTCAGACTCAGCTAGAGCGACTGTTGGCTTCTAGGCAAGATTGCTACCCTTAGAGCCTCAGTTTCTCCGCCTGCAGCTGGAAAGTGTTGGTCTGAGTCTCCGACAGCCAGTTCCAAGGAGCAACCTCAGTACACTGAGCCCTCCACTGAGTTAACCTGTGACCTTGGGCCAGCCCCATCCCTCCTGTGCCCTGTCCACCAAGCCCCAGCCGCTGACCCGCCCTCTGTTCCCTCCCCAGCGCCTGGACTTTGAATCCCAGCCCGTGCACACCGTGGTCCTGGAGGCCCTCAACAAGTTCGTGGACCCCCGCTTCGCTGACCTGGGCACGTTCCGCGACCAGGCGATCGTGCGTGTGTCTGTGACCGACGTGGACGAGCCCCCCGAGTTCCGGCCGCCCTCCGGCCTCCTGGAGGTGCAGGAGGACGCGCAGGTGGGCTCCCTGGTCGGCGTGGTGACGGCGCGGGACCCCGACGCCGCCAACCGGCCCGTCCGGTGAGACCCCCGCCCGGGGCCGACGCCTGCTGCCTGCTACCCTGCCATGGCCCGCGACCGAAGGCGGGCAGAGGGGGGAGGAGGCCGGGAGGGAGGAGGAGGAGAGCACCAGGGAGCCCAGGACAAAGAGGGGATGGCACAGAGAGGGAGCCAGGGGAGTCAGGAGGGGCACAGAGGGGCAGAGCGAAGCAGGGCGGCCACGCTGGGCCTGCCTCTCTCAGCACCCTCGCGTAGTGCCCACCAGCCACCTCGAGTCACCCTGCTCAGAACCAGCCCCTGTCTTTCCAGCGAAAGGGAAAGCAAATCAAAACCAAAGCTGTTGTTCGCGGGGAGTCACGCCCGTCTCCAGGACCCTCGCTCCTCTCTGCCCTCCCTCCGCAAACCCTGGGGTTTCTGCCTGGAAACATGCCCAGAGCCAGGCTGCTTCTCCCCTCGTCCGCCAGTCGGCCAGGCCACCGGAGCTGCTGGGTCTCTGCAGAGGCCCTTGGTTTTCTCCCTGCCCCTCTCTGATCTAGAATCCACACAGGTGTTGTTTGTTTGTTTGTTTGTGGTCCTGCTGATTGAACTCAGGGCCTTCACACTGATCTACACCCCCACCCCCTTTTTATTTCTTTATTTTGAGACAGGGTAAATTACTCAGGATGAGTTCCAATTTTCAATCCTGCTGCCTCAGCCTCCGTGAGTGCTGGGATTACAGGTGTGCACCACCGTGCCTGGCAAAAGCTAGCCTGGTCCTGCTGTCTGCTCTAAACCCTCCCAAGGCACCTGTAGGGCTCAGGATGCCAGGCACGTCCTCTCAGTGCCCCTGACCTTGCATGGCCTGGCCTCCCATACCCTCTACACCCCCTCCCGTGCACTCCCTGCCGCCTCCCTGTCCGCTGCTCCAACCACTGCACCTCATCCCCACTCCCCAATTCACCACACTCACCTCCCCTGAGAGCCTGTGTGACTGCTGGCCCCTAGAATGGCCTCCCCCAACCTCCCTCTTTGCTTAGAAGTCACCCTCTCAGCTTGGCCTCTCTTCCTAAAATGTCCACACCAGCCCTGACACTCCACCCTGCATTCCCTCACTATACTTCTCCTGAACTGTTTTTCTGGGGATGCTATTTGCTTCCCCACTCAAAGGGAAACTCCATGAAGGGAGGGATGTGCCCTGATTTGTTCCCCACTGGGTCCTCGGAGCCTGGCCTGCAGCCCTGCACTTGGGGACACTCATGGGAGTTATGCTGAGTGAATGAAATGTGCAAGTAGAGAAGGACCAAGAGACAGGAGAGGTAGCCAGGCCACCCAGGAGAGGGAGAGGTAGAGGAAGACAGGAGCCAGTACAGAGAGGAAGCTTGAGGCTGCCTGGCAAAGCAGACACAGGGAGGGGAGCCTTGCAGAGAATGCCAGGGAGGCAAGAGCTAGCACATGGAGAGACAGGCGGGGCACCGAGGGGGCAGGTGGCGTCCCCGGAAGGCCCTGGAGCTGCAGGGTTTGGGCGTCTGAAGTTGGACGAAAGTCCAATAGAAGAGGAGGCAGGAAGGGGGCCGGGGATTTAGCTCAGTGGTTTCACCGCCTGCTGAGCAAGCGCAAGGACCCGAGTACAAAAAAAAAAAAAAAACAAAGTGGGAGGAGGCAGGAAGGTGACCCAGAGGCAGGGTCCACAGGAGGGGTGAGCAGGTCCCCAGTGTTCCATGGATGGGGAAGATGCCCTGGGCTCCCTGATCCTTCCTGCAACCGCTGTGTGTAGTCAGTGAGAAATCCTTGAGCTGATTCTGGGCCTCACTCTGTTGAGGAGAGAGAAGGGAGAAGTGAATTTAAGGGTCGCTGCATTGTACAGTCCCACAGGATAACATTCCATCCTGGTCTGTCTGAACAGTCTTCTAGGAACTGTTGAGTATCTGGCTTGTGCAACCTTACATGGCAGCCCTAGGTGATGAGGCACAAAGATGCTGTCTTGTTCGACTGCCCACAGCTCTCAGACCGGGAAATTGCCTCAGGGTTCTGGGAAGATGTCCCCAAGAGGGAAGAATTGAACTGAGCTGGGCACCTGGTCTGGTCAGGTGTAAAGAGGAGGAACAGCTTGTTCAGATGTGTGGGGCAGAGGAGCGTCAGTCAGTGGGCCTAGAGAGGAGTGGGCTGTGCTAGAGGGAGGTGAGCCCCAAAGGGGAGCCGAGGGGAGCCTCAGGCAGGCTGAGCTGCTCACAGACAGTCCAAAACCAGAACTGCGGCTCTGCTTCTGCCCCTCACTGCCCAAACTGCCCCGCCTCTGCCTGCCTCGACATCCCTCATCTCCCTCTACCTGGCTGTCAGTCCAGGCTGGAAATACCTGCCTTGGCCTATGGCCAGGCCCCAGCCTCTCCAGAGAGAGCACTGTCACCCCCATTTGCCCGGAAACTGAGGCCCAGAGAGGGGGCAGCTTTGGTGGGCTCTCGGGGTGCAAGAGCAGTAGTCAGTGTGCCTGCCTCTTCTCCACATCCCTCCTCAGTCAACTCCTCTCCCTCCCCAGCCTCTCTGCTGCCCTCTCCTTTTATCAGCACCAAAAGGGCCAACTTTGAAACCAGCTTCTGCCTGCTTTCATCTCCTTCGCCAGCCCCTTCCCTGGGGCTCCTCAAATGCATCAGACAGGAGCTTCAGACAGGTCCAGTTTAACACCACAAATATTTACCCAACTCCCCATCCTCGTGTGGCCCTGAGCCCTGCCTGGGGATACCAGGATAATGGCCAAGGGCAGAGCTGGGCTGGGGCTCCCAGGAAGGGGATATAGACATGGGAACAGACAGGAGCCCCCAAAGGGGTCCCCACAGGCCGTGTGTGCTACCCAGAGCCTGCTCTGTCCCACCTCCAGGCTCTAAGGGTCACTGAGTCATCTGTGCAGTGGGGAAGCAGATGACAAGACAGGAGCTCAGCCCACCTAGAGCTTGCCTTCTCCTGGGAGGAGACAGTCAGCAAATGTTTAAACGCTGACAAGAGCTAGGAAGAAAACAGAGGATTGGGTGGTCAAGGATGTAAGAAAGGAGCTGAGATCAGGGCAGAGCCAACCAGACAGAGGTGTGAAGGAGGGCGTTCTGGGTAGAAGGAGCAGCAAGTGCAATGTTCCTGTGGCAGGCAGGAAGAAAAATGGCATGTTCCTGGAAATGAAGAAGTAAAGTGGGGTCCTAGAGATGTCATCTGCCACAGTTCATGGGGCACAGTGAGCACCTGAAAAGGACAGAAATGAACTGTGCACTGACTTTCCAGGGCTTTTGCACTGGGGGACTGCAAGGTGCCTTGTATTGCTGCACCTACCCTTTGGAAGTATTATAGTGAGAGACAGAGAGGGCAAGTGAATTCCCCGAGGTCATCCAGTCCGAGGGGAAGGTCTGGGATTTAACTCACAGCTTCCTGAATTCAGCCCTCTGCCACTTCACCTCTGCTTCTTCCTGTCTTTGCTGTTGGCTCATGTGTCAGTCAGCATTTCATTGCCAAGACAAAATACCTGACATAAACAACTTAAAAGAGAAGAGGCTTATTTTGTCTCACGGTTGCAGAGGTTTCAGTCCATGGTCTTCTGGCTCTGTTACTTTGGGCCTGAGGCAAGGCAGAAACATTACAGTGGAAGAGTATGGTGAAAGAAAGCTGCTCACCTCATGGCAGACAGGAAGCAGAGAGAGGGAAAGAGCCAGAGAGGAAGAGGTTAGGGCCACTCTTCCTAATAGCCTACTCAGATGAATCCTTTGACGAGGTTGGCACCCTCATGATCCAGTCACCTTTCTAGGCCCTGCCTCTGTACCTGGACCAAGCCTTCAACGCAGAAGCCTTCAGGAGACATTTCAGATCCAAACCATAACAGTGACGTTTCCATATTTGTACTGTGCCCTCCTTTGTGCTCAGGCCATGGAGGAGTCAGACATGGGCCAGTGAAAGCCTGAGCCTTTCGTAGGTGAATCCAGTGACAGTCCTCATCTCACTGCTTTGGGCTGGGATAGGCACTTGGGGAGCTCCAAGGAGGAGCAGGAACTTTGCACCAAGGCATGGAGCGGGGAGAGGGTGCTCCTCACTGGAGTCACAATGAGGGCCACGTGACCCGAACAGACAGACCCAGGAGTTTAAGTTCCAGAGCAGGGCCATCTGTTGGAGGAGCCCACATCAGGCCTGGTGGGAGATGAGGACAGACAGGCACTTGGCGACAGGCTGTGGAGGACCCTGGTGAGGAAGTGGGACTTTATCCCACAGGCAGGAGGAAGCCTTAGGGTGCTCCAGGAGGAAGGAGGAGAGGGCTCGGGTGTCTGAAGCGACCCTGCAGATGGACCGGCCCTTGATGAGCCCAATCCTGTTCCTAGCAGCCTTACTCCCACCCTGAGCCACCTTTAAACATCCAAACCAGCAAGTCCGTGCTGGGCCAGAGGAAGTGGTCACTTCACTTCTACCCAGCATTCCATGGTGGGCTGCAGCAGAAAGTGCATGGGCTTTGGAGTCAGTGAAGACCTGGGTCCAAAGCCCAACTCAGTTGCAGAATTTTGAGCAAGCCACACTGCCCCTCTTTGAGCATCAGTTTCCCCATCTAAAATGGGCCTCGTGATAGTTCCTGCTTCATTTGTACATGTTAAAGGTCTACTATGTACCATGTTCTGTGCTCAGAAGCCCCAGGGTTGGAGGGAGGAGTCAGTGCTTAGCACATAGTAGGCCTGCGGGAAATGCACATTACCATTTTCCTTGGTGATCTGGACATCCATTTTTCTCTGTTCTGTAGCCAGTACTAACCACATGCACCTTTCTGGGCATTGTGTGCAGCCTTCTGAGTATGTACCTTAAAGGGGGTGAGGGACAGAGTCACAGGTAGGATGGGGTAAGCAGAGAGGAGTCATTTGATGGGGTGGGCGCAGGCAACCTGCTTTGTATTGGAGATTTCTGCCCCACTTAGCCTGGGCGAGCTGCCCCATTTGGTTCGTGTTCTGTGCCTCATGCAGGAAGCTGGTGCCTATGTGAGCCTGCTGCCTTTTGTGTTTGTTATGGCCATGTGTTATACATGCATACATTTATGCAGGAAAAAAAACATGCTCACACAAGCCAGGCAGCAATGCCCACCCCATTTCCCCACCCTGACATCAGCAGTGTTCTGTGCCATCCACAGTGCATGGAATGCCCGCGGGTGTATCTGGGCTGGCCCTCCGTGGGTCTTAGATCTGGAGATCTGGACAGACATCAGATGGGAACTTGGCTCTGCTACTAGCTAGTCTTTTGTGACCCAGGGAAAATTACCTGGCTTCTTTGAGCCTCAGTTTCCTCACCTGTAAAGCAGGAAGGGTGAGGGTATGGGGATGATTTGAGGAGCTCATGAAAGTAAAGCTCTCCCGATAAAAATGAGAGCTGAGCCATATCCTGTCGGTGGTGCCGGCACTGTCCTGAGTGCTTGGTTGGTAGTCACGTGTGTAAGCCTCACAGCCAGCCTGTGGGATAGGTATTGCTACCTCCATTTTCAAGAGGAAGATAGTGAAGAGCAGAGGGGTTAGGTGGCTTGCCCAAGGTCACACAGCTAGGTTCCAAATCTAGGCAGATGGCATCAGAGCAACACTTGCAGCCCCCATTCCCCAGTCTCCTTTGCATGCATGGGCAAGCGTACATGCATGCTAACACACGTGTGTGCACACACACAGTAGGCTCACATTGCTCCCTCCCACCCATACCTGCTCTGTTCCCCTGGCTGATCAAATGAGAAGCAGAAGAGCCATGTCCAAGAGGGACCTCCCAGGCCACAGCTGCTCCTGCCTGAGACCTCTGGCAGTGCTCCAGCATGCCTACGCTGTGCCCCTCCCTCCCACTTCCCCCCCACAGGCCACACACTGGGTTGAGGGGACTCCTGTGTCCTCCATGCCAGACATTTCTGAGTCCTAATTAGAATGAGAGTAGTTCCCACTCATGGAGTAATTTTCCTGGAACTCAGCAAGGCACCTCGTATGCATTTCATCCTCCCAACAACACCCAGGGTAGGATTCACATCTGTTTTGCAGAAAATTAAGACTCAAATGACTTGTCTGGGGGCAGCGGGGACCTGGCTTCAGACCCAGGGTGGAGCAGCTGCCTCTTGAGCCTTTGCTGCTCCAACTGCAACACGCTGTGTTGTACACAACAGACACACACACACACATTCATGTCACACAAACCCTGACAACACCAACCAGACACACAACCCGTGCTGTACCTACAACCCAAGCTTGCCCTACCCCGTGACTGCCAGGTCACAGTCCTTGCCACGCACCAAGCCCTTCCCATCCCTCCCTCCCACTCACTCTCTGTTCCCTGAGCTGGAACAAAAACACACCTGGGTTCAGCCAGCCAGCCAACCACATTGACCTGCAGCCCTAGTCTTTGGCTGGTTAATGTGTCCCTGCCCACCCACCCCCACGGCCTTGGGAACAGCTGCCTCCACTTAGGTTCCAGCCCCTCTCTTCTGCTCTAGGAGGGAACCAGCGAGAAGCTGGGAGGAGGGAGGGGAGAGGTCTAAGCAGAGAAGGGAAAAGCTGAAGCCAGAAGGCCGGAATGACTCGTCATACCTCCTCTGGATCCTGACATCTGCGAAGGCCAGGCTAGGAGCAAAGGAGACCTGAGGCTCAGTGCATTGAGGCCTTTGGTGGTGCAACAAGCTAGAGAGATCTCTGGTACGTAGCCTCCAAACTGGGTACAAATTCCAATTTCCTAAGAGTTGCTGTGCAACCCAGGCAGGATCATTACTAGCCAGGTGGCATCTTTGTGTAAATAAAAAGTCCCCGGGCTAGGGAAGTAGCTCAGTGGCACTGTGCCTGCCTTGCAAGCACAAGGTCCTGAGTTCAATCTCTGGTAAAAAAAAAAAAAAGAAAAAAAAAAGAAAAAGCCCCCTCTTGGAGAAGATCCTCCCTGTGCCAGAACACATGGCTTGCCAAGCGAATGCTGGATGGAACTCATCCCTTCTCCCCTTTCAGTCTGGTACCTTTGTGCATAACACAACCTGTACAGCTGTACTCAGCAGCCCTGAGCTTGGCAAGTTTCCTCTCGAGCCTCCATGGCTTCATTGCCCAGCAGAGCCCTTGCCTGTACCCTTGGCCTGTGTATCCTGGGGCCTAGCACAGAGGAAGCACTTGATTGCTTGGGGCATGAAGGAATGGGTAAGGGGACAGCTGGGGAAAATGTGCTCTACAAACTGTGAAGTGTGTGCTAGGAAGAGGAATGATCATCTTGGGTGTCAACCTCCCACGTCAGTGAGACCTGGACTGGTCAGGGGCAGGGAGCACGCGTGCGGGCATAGTAGGTTGGGGACAGGAAGGAGCATGAACTGAACATTCGGGAGGCTGGCTATGTCCGCTCTGCCCTTGTTTGCAGCCCTTTACAGTTTGCCCCATGTCCCCCTCCTCTACAACAGTGAATATGAATAGAATAGAGGCTGTCACCCATAGAAGGTGGAGGCCAAGGGGGTCCCGGGCTTGTCCAGGGTCACACAGGAAGAGTGAGTGGCTGAGGAATCAGCCCCAGCTGACTGCTTTCAGATCTGTGCAGCCCCACAGGTGTCATTATCCCCACTGAAGAGATGGAGAAACTGAGGCCCAGAGAGTTTTGGCCATGCAGCCAAGGCCCCTCTGAAGGTCAGCTCAAGGCTTTGGGCCTCCAGCAGGCAGTGCCTCTGGTTAGCTGGGCCCCAGTTTCCCTCTCTGGGATTTGGAGGAGGGGCTTCTTTCCTCCTGCCTGAAGGAGGGGCCATGGCTCCGGCTGTTCCCTCCCCACTGGGATGCTTTGTCCTGGCTGCACAATGAGCCTTTGCCTGGCATTTGAGGCCTTTGTCTGCCCACAGCCTGGCTGTGCCCCTGCCAGCGTTATCAGTGTGGAGAAGCAGGGCCGGCACTGGTGGGGCCTCTCTGGGCTGCTGCCGCCCGAGACATGTGTTGGACACGGGCTTTTCAGGCCTGGAGCCGCCACACAAAGACCCGGGAAGAAGGCGGAACAAAGGGCTTTTTCACACAGCAACTGAAAAGCCACAGATTAGCTTGTACGTGCTGTGTGCTTTGCAGGCGGGAGGAGCTGGCGGCCAAGCCCAGAGCCCTCCCCATGGCACGCTGGGCCCTATCTCTGGTCAGGGGCCTCCGCTGGCTGTTACGGCGGATAAGCCCCCTGTAACCCATAGCCACCCCCTTCCCTCCTGCTCAAAATGCCCCGCTGGCTCCCCAGGCCACTCGAGACTCAGCTCCGTGCCTGTGAGCTTCGGTGCACACCACGCTTCCCAGGTCTGACTGCTCTGCACCCTTAGCCACTCCTGAATAAGTCTCACTTGCCTCTGTGCCCCTCCCCTGAATGCCACCCCCTCCTAGTTCCCAGGGGTCAAGTCCAAATCCAGGGTCACCTCTTATTGAAAAATAAGAATGGAACATCTGTCACCATGTGCCAAGCACATTACCTATTTCCTCCCCTCACAAGAGTGGAGTGCAAATGATTATTGGCCCTGTTGCCCAGATGAGGAAACAGCTCATAAATGCTGCGGGTCGCCCATGGACACACAGCAGGCACTGTGTCCCTGAGGTGCAAGCCCAGATGGCTTCCCGCTCCTCCCTTCTGAGGGGTTCCTGCCTCCTGTGAGCCTGGGGCAGGTGGTGCCTCTCTTGGAAGGGCACAGGCTCCCTCTGGTGCTGAAACACCTTCAATCAGCCCTGCACTGCACCCCTCAGGTATGCCATTGACCGCGACTCGGATTTGGACCAGATCTTTGACATTGATGCCGACACAGGTGCCATCGTGACTGGCAAGGGACTGGACCGTGAGACAGCTGGCTGGCACAACATCACCGTGCTGGCCATGGAGGCAGGTGAGCTGGGTGGTGCCCCCAGTCAAATATGGGGGGAGGGGCCAACCCTGAGGGGTGGGGTGGGCGGGGCTAATGTCAGGGGTGGGGCAAAGGCTGAACTGTCAATCAAGGCCCCGGGAGGCGGGGCAAAGATCCCACTTGAGTGAAGGTGGGGGACAACAGCTGACTTTCAGGAACAAGCCAGGAGGAGTCCCAAGCCAAGCCAATCCAAGGGAATAGGACTGATTGTGAGACAAGTTTTCCTCCCTTGTACATTGGGCACCTACTACATGCCAAGCCCTGTTCTAGTGTCTGGGAATACAGCCTTGACCGAGATGGGGAAGGTACCTGTCCCCATAGGAGAGAGCTCAGCCATGGACAGTGAGAAAGGACAGACATGGTGTGTCAGGTGATACAAAGTGCCAAGAATTGAGGGGAAAAGAAAGCAGAGAAAGGGGGTGGGAAGGAAGAGGGGAGTTGCTTCTCTTAGAGGAAGGCTATTCTGGGAAGAAGACATTTCAACAAAGACCTCAGTAAAATGAGTGCTCATGTCAACTTCTGGGGTAAGAGCAGTCCGGGCAGAGGGAAGAGCCAGTGCAGAGGGTATGAGGTTGTGGCTGCTGCTCGTGAGAGGGACAGCAGGGTAGCCAGCCTGGCTGGAGAGGGGTAGAGCGCGCAACGCTATGGGGTCTTTGGCCTTTAAGTGAGGTGGGAGTCACAGGAAGGGATTGAGCAGAGGAAGGCGTCTACAGGCACCTCTGGCTGCCATACTGGACATGGACTGGGAGCTGAAGGGGGAGCCAAGGCTCAGTTAGAAGCAAAATGCCATAGTGCTGGGGATGTGGGGTGTTGGCCCGGCCAAGGGCAATGGCAGGGGAGGCAAGAGGTGGCTAGCTTTGGAGTTCACCCTTGGAGGTTGCGTCAGTGGGACCTGACGATGGAGGAGGGTCAGGGCAATGACAAGGTGCTTGGCCTGAGTCTCAAGTGAGTCACAGGTGGGGAGAGGTTTCTAGAAGAGCCTTGTTTGTGTGCGTATTACAGGCAGTTTGGCGTCATGAGGCATGCACGGAGGGCAGTGTAAGCTGGTTGGGGCGGGGCTGGGCCGTGGAGATGCAGAGCCTCACTGGGCACCAGGAGCGGGCAGGGTGACTGCCCACCACCACTTTTCTGCCTCCACCTGCTCTCCAAGCACACACACACACACACACACACACACACACACACACACACACACACACACACACATTTCCCAAGATCTCGGAAGCCAACTGAGCCACCGGGAAGCAGTCTCAACACCAGAAACACTGTTGATCTCTGAGCCGCAGGCAGCACACACTGCTCAAACCAGCCCCTTCGTGGCCAGCTGCAGCCCCTCCCTGCTTTCCTCCTCTTCCTCTCCCTCCCTCCCACTTCCCAGGCCGCAGGGCCCTTGCCCCTTTCTGGGCAGGCAAGGAAGTCCCTAGGCTGAAGTTCCCTTCCTCTCTTTCAACTGCAGTTTAAAAGAAAACACAAAGCCAGCTCCACTCTCAGTGCCTGCTGCTCCCAGCCTTTGAATCCGCTCTTCCTCCACTTGAAAGAGAGGGAACAAAGGTGGCTGGAGAGGAAGTGGGGCTGGACTTGGGAAGAGAGCTCCCCCTCTGCCCCTCCCTCCCAAACCTGCTCCCCGGGAAGCAACTGAGGCTGCCGGTTGCAGGCAGAGGCAGGAGGGGTCATAGCCCACCTGCTGAGCAGAGCTCTCCTCTCCCTTCCACAAAGATTCACCCCCACCTGCCTGTCACTGCCTGTCACTACCTGACGTCCCACCACTACTGAGCCCCTTCCTGGATTAAGCATTATGCTTCTACACAGCAGGTCTTAGAAAACAGCTAGGGTAGCATACAAGCCTGTAATGGCACCATTCCACAGGACAAAGGATCAGGGGATGCACCTCCCCAAACACTGACAATTAAATACATATTCTGGGCTTGATGCCTTCCCGCTCATATTTTTATTGAATCCTGCATCTTGATCAGTAGCATGATCACTACCCGTTTTGCTGGTGAGAAAACTGAGTCTCAGAGAGTTAGGAGACTTTCCCAAGGACATGCAGACCTCCTCCCTGAGCTGCAACCTGCCACCCCTGCCCATCCCTCAGCCAGGACACTGATGGGAAAGAAACGCATCCATTTCACATTGCAGCTGGGAGAATTAAACATGACATATAGAGAGCACTGTGCCTAGTGGCTGGGACCTAGTGAGCGTTCACTCAGTGGTTATCGGATGGCCTGGACTCTGCACCTGGCTTAAGCGGCAACTCTGGGCCGGGCCCTTTACAGTGCTGAGCCCAAGGTGCTGATCTTACCACTGTCCCCAAAGTGTGGATGACAGCACTGAGACTCGGAGACAGGAAGTCATTTGTCTGGAGTCCCAGCCCCACCCACCTGACTCCAGAGCCCCTCACCCCTGACCTTCCAATCATATTTCCTTGGAGCTGCCACAGATCAGGAGCTGGGGCAAATAACCCACCGGCTCCACCACCTTCCTGCCACCTCTGTGAGATGAAGACAAAATTATCTATCCCCATATTACAGGTGAGGAAACAGGCTCAGGGAGGAACAGCAATGGCCTCTAGACCCCACACCCTGTCCTTGCAAGCCCAGGGCTCCACCCCCGACCTCCTGCCCCTAGGAGCCAGGCAGCGCCCCAAGCCCAATGCCAAGGCTCTGCCTGCCTGGCCCTGTGTCCTCCCTGGGAGTCGCCCATCCGGCTTCCTCTGAAACAGAGAGGATGCACAGGGGGTAACAAACGTGGGTGACAAGAATCAGAGGGGAAATATTTATACACAGCCGCGAAGCTTTGTGAGCACCTCGGAGAATGTTGCCCTCAACCGGGAGCCTCGCCTGTCACACCAGATTACCTCAAAGACTCCCAACCCACTTAGTATGCCAGCTCCCCTCTCCCCGAACTTCTGAGTCATCCATTCTGCCCATGCAGACGCTCCTTCCACTGACATTATCTGTAACGTTTTGTAATCATGAAATATTAATGACCGATATTGAATTTAAAGTACAATTTGTGTCTGAATCCTTCCATGGAAAGGGCAGCTAGAAATGGACAGTCTTCAAAGAGACGGGGGCGGGGGTCTGGGGCATGTGTTCTGGGCCCTGGGGGTCCCCAGGGGCTGCAGACAGCCATCTCCTCAGGATCATCAGGCCTGCAGCTGGTTTGGAGGGGTGATGTCTAGCTGTCCAGGACCCAGAGGTTAACCTGACGGTTAGAAACTTCCCATCTGGGTCACCCCAGACCGACTCACATCTCCAGTGCCCTGCATTTTCCTGCATAACACTGAATGCACTTTGCAGTTTACAGATGTATTTTTGTGAGTGTTGAGCGATCCCTTCTCCCCAGCAGACTGTACCTCCCATGAGGACAGTGTCCCGTCTCTGTGGCCAGGCATGCGTCAGGCAATATCAATATTTACCGAGTGGGCAAATGTAGACCAGGAATGTGCACCCACCCCCTTAGGAAGGAGGCAGAGCTGCGTGATGAGCCGGACTGTGGTCTCGCAGTTCCAAGATCAGTGGGATTGGACAGTCACTCCCTCCTCTCTCGTGGCCTCTGATTTCTCATCTGTAGAATGGTGACAATAATGCCTACTTACTGGATGCTGCAGATGACAGCTAATGACAATAGCAGCTTCTGTTTATTTAAAGCTTACCCTGTGCCAGACATTGTCTGTGTGTTTCACATTAAACATAAATGCCCTGGAGATTAGAAATCGCAACCAGCAAGTGCCTAGCACAGTGCCTGCCTGACGCAGAGCAGAGGAGGAATTGGAGGAGCGAGGGAACGTCAGAGATGTTGGGCTCCAGCCCACTGTACCTTGATTCACAGCTGCGGAGACTGAGGCCTAGGAAGGGGGCAGCTTGCCTCAGTCTGCCGAGGAGGCCATGTGACTCCAGACCAGTGCTCCTCGGAGGACCACAGAGGGGTCTGCAGGGCCTGGAGGCAGGAGTAGGGCAGGGAGTGGGGGTCACTGCAGAGTCTGGTCAGCATAGTGCTTGCTTTCCTCCAGGGTCTCTTCCCCCAAGTCCTCTCTCAGCCAGGGGCTGACACTGAGACCTGGTGACAGCAGGCCTGTCTACTGCTATAGGGCTCTTGGGAGGGCAGCAGAGAGGGAGGGCAGCAGTCAGTGACAACTCAGTGCAAGTTAGGGGCCCTGCGGGGGCCCTAAGGAGGAGTGAGGGCCTGGCCCACCCCTTGAGGACAGAGAAAGGTCTCAAAGGCTGAGGAAGACTTTGGAGCAGATAGAGGATTCCAGTGCCCCTGGCAGAAAGAGCCCTGGGTGCCAAGGCCTGGAAGCCAGGTGCCCCCTGCCCATTCTGAAGGCAGAGGAACAGGTATGGCTGGAGTTGGTGGGCTGCAGTGAGAGTGAAGTGCTCACTGGCCTGTACAGAAAGGGCCTCGAGGCCCCCTGAGGAACCAGACAGGATTTGGAGCAGAACGCACATGCAGATGTGGGTCCCCCTGGTTCCCTCAGGTTCCAGGGCAGAGTGGGCTGGAGAGGGACAGACAGGAAGAGGGCGCGTGTGTCCCCTCTGCTGCAGTGGGAGGGAGCCCCAGGGAGGTGGCAGTGGCAGAGGGCAGCTCTGCACGGGAGGGACTGCTTCTTGAGGTAGTGAACTCCCTCTCATCAGAGACAAGTCAATCCAGTGTGGGCTCCTCTCGGGCTGGGTGACACCTGGGATCCTGTGCCACATTAATACCATAGATGCCAACAAGGACTAAGTTTTTGTGAGGCCCATCAAGTCTCAGTGGGACAGCCCAAACATCAGGAACCACTAACCCCCCCTAATGGAAATTTCTCCCATCCCTCTTCCCCCAAAGCTTGGGGGTGCTATGGTGTCAGAGCTCCTACTTCAGCCAGCAGCCTTCTTCACCCCTCGGTCCCCTTTCCCCGACAAGGTCAAAGCCTCCACTTTCCAACTGGAAGTCAAACCAGATGCTCCACATCCCTAAGAGCCAGAGAAGGCTCCCCAAAC